AATCCGTCACATGCTACGACCGAAGTGAGAGTTGGAGACAACTCGTGAAGGAGCACACAAGAAGAGAAAGAAATGTCCTGCCGACAACGGGTAGTAAGTATCCGCGCAGCTGCGCCCCACGAGAGCGAGACGGCAGAGAGAGTTCCGGCGGCATGGAATAATGACTCGAAGACCATCAAGGACATCAACACCATGGAATCCAGGAATCGTACCTGCCGCTCACAACAACGAGACAGCATAGAGAAAGTCGGTGGGACGGAAGGATGAAATCAAGGTGTTGAAGGCTCTCAAGTACAACAACCTCGTTCGTGACCAGCAACGTAGGCGTTGCAGGCCTACTCGAAAGCATACAGCGGAAGAACACGCATACGCTACGAGGACCTCACAAGCTGCAGCTATCTGAAGCACTACCACATGAATGCGGCGCTTCAACACTGGTAGTACAACCAGAGTGGCTGTGCACACAATGCCTACGCAAAACCTGCAAAGACCCGAGCAAACAACAGAATTTCATGAATATTCAGCCGCCTCTCGCAGAACAGGGCGTTGACACCAAACGCATTCAGCACCTATTCCAAGAGCCCGACAAGCTAGTCGGACACGGACGCGGTGGTCTCAGACACTATATTGGCCACTGTCTATCACGGCGCCCGGTGGATCGACAGCCCCTCGGTGAGGAGACCTACGTTGCTAGAGAGTCCTTTACAGTCGATCGCGATATTGCTGTTACGAAGTATGGATGCGCCGTATATTTTGCTGCCTTGAGTCAAGCATGGTCTGGTCTGCATCCCACCGTATGATTGCTGCGAGGGTTCGGTCGTCGAGGCAGCAAACATTATGTTGCCGAAAACCGGGCCCGCCAAGTGAGCTGGTCCCTGGCCCCTTCAACCTGGGATCTTGATTCAGCGCTGATGTAGTATTTACAACCAAGTCTCTAAAGACAGGCATGGAATAGTTTATAGGAGACGGCGTTCACGATTTCTAGAGCGTGAGCTCTCCCTGAACCAGTACTAATGCGGACTATTCTTCTATACAAGCTTGCGAGACTTCGTGGCTGCTGGCCATTGACGAATATTGGATGCTAATATCTCACAAACCTGAGTCGCGTTCCATGCAGACTCCACGAAAAAGGAGTCGACTAACGATCTCGAAGGCCTCGGAGAGCATTAGCTTCTGTTCTAAAACACTGTAGGTGATTCTGAACCTCAAAAGCCAGTGTGAGAAGCGAGATTGGTCGTCTGAGAGATCAAAGGTCAGCTCATATGCACTCCATCTCAGCGAGACGTGTCTCTGGTATACCGAAGGGAGCCGGTTGTGTAGCTGGGGCTTCCTCCGCCACAGAGATGAAAATGGAGCGGTGTCAGGGCTTGATCACTTCTCCGACATGTTGCTCGACCTCGTGCGTGTTGAGGTAGTTTATCAACCAGTGAGAGTGAGCCATGATTGCGAGAATGTTGCAGATTAAACTGCTTTTTCCCTCAAGTATGAAAGGAGGCAAGGCACGCAGGAAGATGTGCAGAGGCATAGGAATGGGCATCACAATAGGGACTTGCTGCTACATGTTGAACTGTCTACGCACAATACCCTCAAGGGAGAGGCTCGATGCCGCTTCGTCTCGCATAATGCTTTGCGCATCTAACAATACCCACTGAGGGCAGCCTCACTCTTAATCCGCGTTAGCTTAGCCCTCTCAATTGGAGTTTCAAACTGTCTGGACGTTCTCAGTCATTCCATCTGAGAGCACAGACCAGGCATAGCGGCTTCATGACAGGAGTGTTTCGGCAGCACCAGCCGAGCCACTCACTGCAGCCTAGGCCTTCCTGCCTTTCTTTCATGACTTCTTCCTCCTATTCCTTCTGACTCTACGACACCGCCATCAACGAGGTCGCCCACGGCGGCGCGAAACACACTTCTAATTCTTCTTCCTCTCCCCTCCACTTTGCTCCCCGGCAGCAGAACACCAACAGCGAGCCCCACCAGTGCCGCCGTCGGAGGCTCCGCTGTCGTCTGCAGCGTGACCACGATTTGGCGCGTGGCTCTGGACTCCGCCGCCGCTCACAGCAATATTCTCCACTATTCGTTGGGCGGACGACGAATACCACTCTTTCTGTCGTCCGCCCTCAGGATACCTCGCCGACTCGGATGACAACCGCTTTCCGGTTTATTCGAAGGGCGACGTCCGCATTGTCCTTTCAATAGCAAATACCAATTCATGCTTCACGCAATCATTCTCAGCGGCCGCAGCCTCACCATTTGCGGTCTACTGGCGGCAAGCTTCAAGTTCGATCGCGGATTCGCGGCTAGCTCCGCTGAAAGACGCGTCACGCGTGAGCTTCGCAAACCAAGTTTGGCTTCATCACCGCAATCAAGTCACCCATCTCTTCGTCACGGACAGTTTTGGGTGGCAATGAGATGATGATCGGACCAACCGCTCGGTTCACAAACACTCAACGGTACGGCGAGGGAAGACAAAGAGCAGTAAATCTCGTCTGACGCCCTCCCTTGTCGATTGAAGACTGATAATGGGCAGGCAAACCATCCGACTACCGTCGTGGTCATTCGACAAACCATTTGGTAGTACTACTACGGAAACGAAGCCAGCGCCATCTTCAGCGGCTCCAGCACGCATGTCGAAACGCTACAGCCTTCTGGACCTCCCAGAGTCCCAGCGACTAAATCAAGTCAATGGCTCTGTCCAAACAGCTTTGGGCAGCATGTACAGCGGTAAGCAGTGGATCATGCTTCTCTACCTCGACGCAGACTGATAGTGGCTTAGTGCAATCAATAGCTATTGATGTTGTCTCTTCCGGCGTTGCTGTCTTTTCCGGCGAAAGCACGAAACATCATCGACAAAGCCAAGCACCTGGATCGACTCCGCAACAGAACGCTGTGCCAATGTCTTGAGCTAAAGACGCAGACAGCGGCCGCGAGTCTCAGCGCACGCGCGATCGTCCACCTCCTTCTTCCACCAGTCGAGCCCCATGGTAGCTGCAGGTTTCTGTGCAAGAACAAGCGGCGCGGACCAGGGAAGGAGCATGTAAACAGGAAGACGAGAGGGCTCAGTCTAAGTCTGGCGCAAGACATTCACAAGTGACGAGCACAGGAAAAGCATACAACCTCAACGAATCGACGAGCACTGTCCGGGCTCAGGGTAGAGCGCCTCACGATGGCCTCGTGGATTGCTGTCAGGATTGCTAACAGGCAGGCAAGTAACAGGCTGTCCAGACAGAGACATTGGACATATTATTGCTCAAGTCTGTCCCTCTAGGACCACTTGGGACACCCCAACGATTGGTCATTGGGTGCCCGGCAGCTACGGAAGTTGAACATTATCGCAACCCACTACCTTAGCTAGGCATACTTGATCGGCACTTGTCCAAACGACGCCATCTCGAAGCTCTCCAGTGGCGTGACAGCGGCTGTATTGCATGCTGGGGGCAACATAATGTCCGCTGCGACTTCTCAAGGGACAGCTGCTGCCGCTGAACTTCATCACAATCCACTATGCCTACATGATCGGACTTGTCTTCTCCGAGCCAACATAGATGCCATTCAGCTATCTCGCAGCTTCTATTGCTGGAAATTTGCCATTGATTGAAGCTGTATCGATTCCGGAAGCCGCAACACACAGTCGAATGCTTTGCAATTCCTCGAGCGACAGCTGCCATCGCCCAACTTCATTCGCTCAATTCATCAGCACCTGTCTTATCAGTTGAATCATATTATGGTGGTTGACCATCCTAGTGCGTAGTCTGATCTTTACAGAGACGCTTCTTCTGGCCATTACTGCCAACCGAAGCTGACCGAAACACTGTCCATCCTTTCATCCCTGATACCTTTCAAAAATTCGTCATATTCGTCCCTATCACCGTCGTCTCCGCAATTTGGGTATCTGCATTCATCGCTCTACTCAGAAACCGTTGCCATGCACTGGGAAAGGAATTTGAAAGGAGCAGCAGACAGCTGACAAGCCCCAGCTACTAATGGCCTGCATTGCCGTCAGCATTAGCAAAGAGACAGCAGCCCAAGTTCGCGGCCGATACCAAAACCAATGGTGCTCCTATGGAGGATTCTACGCAGTAGACGAGCCAGAGCCATTAGAGTGCTCTGTTGCGGTCAACGACTCAAGAAGCCCACGAAAGAAATCGGCACTGAAGATAGCCGGTCCCCTCCGACGCTCCTCAAGCTTCTTGTCGACACTAACATCAATGGCAAGAATTAGGTCATTCCAGTCCCCAGGAGAAGATGATTACATCGAAGTCCCAAGCTCGGGAACTTCTACTTTGGACAATGGAGATCGTGGCTCACACCGCAGCATCTCCTCCTCCTCCTCCTCTTCTCTAGGGTTCACGGCACTTCCACCCTTCTTTCTACGTAATTAACGGGCAACGAGAGTTTGGTCCTACAGATCTGGCCCCAAGAGACGATGACGGCGGAGCATAGTGCAGAGCAGCGCTACTCGATGGATCCATGGGTCATTCCATGTGCAAGCCCAGCATAGACGGTGAGCTCCACGCTGAAAAAACAGATGACGATGCCAGTCCCTGTCTTTTTATGCATCGAGCGACTAACGGTACCTAGAGGAGATCGACAGTGCTTTGCCTTGGCATAAAAATGCCTAGGGAAAATACTTTCTCCAACCTCCGTCTCACGTGCCCAACTTTGAATTATCAGATTGCCTAGGAGAAATACTTTCTCCAACCTCCGTCTCACGTGCCCAACTTTGAATTATCAGATTGGAAAGGGAGGATGTCGATATGGCAAGGCAAAAAGAACGTAAATAATTGTATTTCCGCATTACATATCAGCCAATCGAAGCTGTTGTTCCAACTATCTGCCGGTCGTTTCTGTTCCAAACCCAATATAAGCGCCTTTGAGAGATCCCTACAAGCATCAAGGTTGACCAATACGCCTCATTTGTCGTGTTCGACAAAAGGTACCTCAATTTCCTTGGTGCGGATGGTATGGATCCCAGCCCGGAGCTTTTCTGGAATCCACGGCTAGTAGCCACTGTCCTCAAAGTCGCCACTGTCCTCAAAGCCCCCAAACCCGGAACCTGGGTTCATTCCCGTGGAAGGACGATCACAAAACTTGTCCCCAGCATAGCCACAATTGTCGTCCCGTCGGGCGGGTTGACTGTTTGACTGCGTGAGAGGTCCACCCGGTCCAAGACCGGCGCCCTGAGGAACACTCGGAATGTTGTTAGTGTTGTGGTTGTTGGGTTCCTGGTACGACGGGGTGATATACAAGGGGCATGGGCAGGCATCCCCACCGCATCCGTTTTCGCAAGCGTTGTCTTGAGGATGGGCCGTGTTGTAAAGAGGAACCCTGTTGCCGTATGTAGGCCCGTGACCAGGCAGATGCTGGTCCTCGGGATTTTTGGGGTTGGCTGTCACGGGTAGAAAAGTGTTAGGGCTGACACGGCTACTGTCGGACCCGCCATGAGGAGGATAGTAGTAGGAGTACTTGTCGCCGGGAGGTTTGGCAGCGTCGCCATTTTCCTGGGGATAAGGGTTGTGGGCTGGGTTCTCATAATCTGTAGTGCCGACCCAGTTTTTTGTAGCTGCTTCGCTCTTGCCGTTCTGAGCTGCGTCCGCTCGGGCTTGAAGACCGTGGCTCTACAATATATCATCAATACGGGCTCGCCATCGCAGTGTGCGCTCTTGATGGTGACAGGCTCCACGTACCCTAGGCACAGGGGCTGGCAGGGCCAGCGCCCCAGACGCGGCGATAGACGCCAAGACGGTAAGAGCAGCCTTTGAATGCATTGTTGGCAACACTGCGCAGATCTCTCGATGACTCTGGTGTCGAGGTGATTCGGTCGATGAGACAAAATGTTCGAGCAGGAGGTTCTGAGATTCTGGCCGAGCGTCTGAACGAAGAGGAGATGGAATCGCTTATTTGTATCTTTCATGAAACATTTGATCTAATTCGAGGACTTCGCATCGATACGGATCCATGGCAAAGATGCTTCGTTGAAGCATTGTCGAGGAAACCATCGGCGCAAGACGATCGTCGGATTCTCGCGGAGGGCTGACATCATGACAGAGATGCGAAACTTGTTCTATGAACACAGCTTCGATGACCCCCGGTAATCCCGTATGTTGGAAGCTTGTTCCCTGGCAAAATTTCCGGAAACGGCTTTCAAGAGTGAACAATTCAACACAAGCCTGGAAATTTACGTGAAGCGCTCTCATTTTGGCTATTTCAGCTTCGCTATAGGCATGGAACCTTGCCCTTCCCTTTTTATAACTGTTCGCGAGGCGGGCGCAGAACTAGCCCCGCCTTGTGTTGCAGACGACTCGTATCGCTTTGTTCTCGCAAACCTATCGTCCGTGAGACCATCGAATCGAAGATTAGCTGATAGAGGTACGCGGGGCGAGATGCCTTTGCCAAACTTGTCACGGAGGTGTCTCGCATTGTTCCAGGGTGCGGCGTGAGCATCTGCATAACGCATCGGTCGGATGCAACAGATTTATTCTGCATTTTCTGGTTCCTGGCCCGAACGAAAGGAGACGTAGAGAGTTTGGAAGAGTCGCTGGAAGTCCCTGCAAGTTCCTGCGATGTAACAAACGCCGAGTTTGCTCGGCCGCTGAGGAGAACAAGAGGCTAGAGTAAGGTGTGGTCTGTGCACACGGCGCGATGCGTCCGACCCATCCTGGCGCCTTCACATGCCTGGAGTGAATGACAAGTTGGTAACATCCGAGAATCGCAATCAAGCACCACGAAGCAAAGACGCAGACAGCGTAGCTCTTCTCACAGCGTTTTGACGAGTTCTCACCAAAACATACTCGTACAAGCCGATCCTCGATTTGCTAGACGAGCGACTCCAAAGAGCATGCAATACATTTCATTTGGCACGGGAGATCCTGGCCTTGGTGTCAGTAAAGAGAGCTGACTTCCTTGACATTTATAGCTACTCGCCTGAAACGGCTCTATGGCTTCCGGGAAGTCTCGATACGGTTGGGGCTGTTAGCAATGAAGTACTTTTCCGCCGCCCTTGCCTTTGCTCTGACAAGCCGGGTATGTCTCTCGTACGCAGCACGCGCATGTGCGCAATAGTAGTTCTCGATGTGTCCGGCGAAAACTCCAATCTCGGCGCCGTTGCCCTCGAGAATGACAGTGCCCTTGTGGTTGCCCGTGTCATCAGTGCAGGTGCTGTCGTTGTCGATCTGGCCGATGACATATACCACGCTGTCAAGAACGAGAGAAGCAATGTACGTATCACATTCGGTTGTGCCCATGAGAGGACCAACGATTTCCGGGAAGTTGCATGTGGGTGGTGTTGCAAGTACGCCGGCTGCGACGAGAGGGAAGTGCATGATGTGGAAGAAGGCTGCTGGGTTGGAAGATAAATTACATCGGAAATCGTGCAAACGAGGGCGGTAGATATTGCCGGAGCTGGGCTGAAGACTGGGTTGCATTGGAACGCGCTCGTTACTTCTTGCAAATGTGCTCGGCAATTGGTTACATTGAGTTCGTCGCAAGTTTGCTCTGGGAACCCATCTGACCTGGCACTGCGAATCAACGCTAAAGAGCGTTAGAGTTCACATCTGTCGCGTGCTGAGCACGAGGTCGGGAAACCTAAAGTGGGTACGCTACTCAGACTCCACGTTGATTGGGATTCCCTGCGTTTGGAGCGCTCTCCCTGCAGCGCTCTCGAGATAGCTCCAATGTAGTGTAGTCCGATGTGAGGCTCACGCTCACAGCCGCCTTTTCTTTACACGTACAAAGAGTATTTCGCGCCAGCCAATGCTCTAGAGTGCCAGCTCATTTGTTTGTTTGAGAGAGACAGGGACCAACAGGATTGTTTCGTATAGGTGTGCTTATTTCAAAAGATCCCCAGAGAAACGGAGGGCTAGTACTGCCTGGATGAGACTGTAGGATCGGCCGCAAACACTATGTTGCATCGCTAGTGAAGAGGGCCAACAAATGGTACTCGAAGCTGGCCATGTCATCGTTGCGGCATCACCCGAGCAGAGCCAAAAGAGAAGAGCCTGCCGCTGGCATTGGAGATTTGGCAGCCCATACACCAGGTGCGGAAAAGTATCGAGTGATCGGCTCGTAGATTGCACCGTTACGGAAGAAGCTTGTTTCTGAGCTCGAAGCCTCGAATTTGTCCCCGAGGCAGCAGGGCCGACGTCGTGCTCGGCCGGCAGCCAGATTGGGTGAAGAGTGCCCAGGCAAGCGAGAGTCAAGCGGTATCTTTAGGAAAGGGCGAGAGAATACTTGACAGCGGCGCTCGCTGAATGTGACATCGTCGTGTGGTTGTTATTCCGGCACTCGTAGGTGATCCAGAGACTCTTGCAGAGGTTTTCTTCGCTTACTGTGTGATCAAGCCTGCTTCGCTTGCGGTTTCCAAGGCCTGATGCCAAAGCTTGGCCATCTTCTCGTAACCGTGATCACCAGGGTGTAAGTCATCAACCAGATCTCCGCTCCCATCGATTCCGATCTGGCTCATATCAGCTACTAACACCTTGAAGCCGCTGGCTACCTTCTTCTCCACAATGTGTGGAATCGCCGCATTGAAGATAGGAATCCAATCTCGAAAGCCTTCCAGAGGACAACTTATTATTTGCGCAACGATCAAAGTAGTCTCTGGAATCTTCTGCAAGATATAGTCGATTAGCCACTCCAGTCGCTCTGGTGCTTCTCCATTTGGTTCATCGTCGTGTGGAAAGGGGGCAAAATCGTTGGTGCCGGCGTGAAGAAGGACGACGTTCGGCTTTCGATCGAGGGAGTCGGAGAGGGCAGGTTGGGTCTTGTTGGCTATTGAGGCGATTGAATAGCCTGGATAGCCTTCTGTCTCGCCGTTTGACATGGGACCAGAGTGTTGAGAGCCTGCGCATTGGTGTGAGCGGTGGCCGACATGCCGTACAGAAGCCCTTACCGATGAATGTGACTTCTCGCTGTCCACAGCTGGCCATCAAGTAGTCATACAAGAATGCTCTGTAACCGTTCCCCCAAGCGCTGCCCATTCCGAATGTGATGGAATCCCCAAGTGGCATTATGCGTAATGGCATTCGCGGGCTGACTGTACATGGCTCAGCTCCTTTGGCCTTGGCCACGGCCCCTCCAAGGTCTCTCGCGGAGTCGAGAACGTTGAAGCGAACAGCCGCGAGCACAAAAATCGTGAAGAAGGCAACGGCGGCGTATGGGGCACAGCGCCGGAGCGGGATTGCAGTGGTCCACATGGTCCGTCCCGTGAGAAGGCGATTTGCCGCTAGCGACGCTCGATCGGCCCAAGGACCTTTTTGCTTTGCAGAGAGTAGAGAGGATAGCTTCGCGGACAGCGTGATATTGGTCTAGGTAGGCGCGTGGTCGTTTGGCTTAGCGTGTGGCTTTCACATCATAGGCGTAACGATCCTGATCAGGTTCCTTTCTGCATCGCCAATGCCTGGCCAGCTGGTCAATATCTGCGCGAGAGCTTCATCGCATGATTGAGTAGAAGTTTGTGGAGGTCGAAGTAGAAAGTAAGCGCACAATGGGGATATGAGAGATTGCCATCGTGCCACCCCGCCGCCGGAACGCAGCGGTAAGGCTGTCCAGAAGCGTGGGACTTTCCCTGATCCTGGTAAGCCCTCAGCATTGGCACGAAACGTACAACGCTTTGGTAGAGGTTCTCTTTGGGAGTTAAGGTTCCCTGGACCGGAGCTTGCAAGGCTGATTGTCCAGCGGTATTTTGCGGGCCAGTCAATGAACAGCGGCAGGACTCTTTCCGTTGCATATCGATACAGCCACAGCCGATATTGCAGAGCGTGCTTTGTTAGAGTGACTCGTATTGCACTGGGACTACAAAGGTTGAATGTGGTTAGACAAATAGAAAGGGGGAGAAAGCCGGGAGACAGAGTTACCCGGGGTTGCTGCTGCCTTGATGCCTGAGCCCGACCCGCCTCCAAACTCAATGCAATAATACATCCTTCTCCTTCTCCTCCACCCTCGTCACCGATACAGAGCAGAGCTGTCGACCACGTATCACGAATGGGTGAGGTTGAAATAGACTATGTTCTCCCGAAGAACGACCTATACCACCCATGTCCGCCCAGTATGGACTGCTTCCGGCGCCACCGCTGACGGTGGATAAGGTCAAGGTCAAGGTCAAGGTGGGCTACAGTATCTCTCATTCACATTCATACTCATCCAAGCCAAAGCAGAAGACGACCCTGCCCTACAGCAATGCCCACCCTCGGCTCCGGTGTCAGCCATTGGAACAACATCGACGACTCGCGATGGGTTCTCGAACGAGCGATGGTGGACACCCACCCCATCACCTCCCCCTCGCATGAGCCCGGTGTCATGATCAGCTACATCTCCTGTCCTCCGAAAGACGCCGAATCGAAAGGAACAGTCCTCCTCATACACGGCTTCCCCCAGACGAGCTATCAGTTCCGCCGAGTCATCACGCCGATCGCAGACGCGGGCTATCATGTCATTGCGCCAGACTATAGAGGAGCCGGGCAGTCGAGCAAACCATGGGATGGATACACAAAGATGGCAATGGCGGAAGATCTACACACATTACTCCGGATAATAGGCGTGCGAGGCAAGGTCCACGTTGTGGGACACGAGATTGGTATGTCTGTTCAGCCGCTGTGAGAGGTCCGTAGCGCGATTCTAACGGCAAGCAGGTGGCATGATCGCTCACGCCTATGCCATGCAGTTTCCACAAGACACGACCAGTGTTGCCTGGGGTGAGTGCCCTCTGCCCGGCACCGCCTTCTACGACGAGACGAAGCATACACTCCCGTTGTGGCACTTCACCTTCCATAACGTGCCCGACCTACCAGAAGCTCTCGTGACAGGGCGGGAGAGAATCTATCTCAAGCACTTCTTCGATCGACTGGCACAGAATTCAAACGCGATCAGCCCTCACGATCTCGACGTCTACACCAACGCATACTCCGCGCCAGGGGCATTAAGAGCTGGATTCAACGTCTATCGGACGCTCGAGCAAGATAAGCTGGACAATTTGGAGTGGCTCCAAGCGCGAGGGAAGAGCCAAGTACCATGCCTTGCTCTGTGGGGAGGAAGAAGCTTCGCGGATCTGGATACCGCAAGAAAGATGTGTGGGCAATTCTATGATGACCTCGTGTATGCGAAAACAGTTCCCAGCGCAGGCCACTGGATAGCTGAAGAGCAGCCTGCTGCTTTCGTGAAGACATTGGTGGGATGGTTCGAAATGTTCAAGTGAGTTTCAGAGACAGAACAAGATACCTTGCTTGCAGGGACACCGAGAGCCTGACTAGTACACTCATCCCTTCCTCCACTCGCACCCCGCGCTCTCCCGTATCCATCCTTCCGGGCGTGTGGCCCTACAAGCGACGGCCCTATGTACCTCGTGGGTTGGGCTCAAAGCGGTTTAGAGTAGGATCGCGACACTGCAGTGGTGTCGAAGGAGATTCTCAGCTTGCCTACTGTCCGTACCAGGACTCGCGAGCGTAAAGTTGCCCCATGTAGGGAATGATTCTCTCCATACCACTAAATTCCAGAGCCGACTACGAGTGTGCCCGATGCATTCCACCACGACTCTTTCGCCCCGTCAAAAGTCCGAAAGACCAGATCACTGTCTCAACCATGGCAACAGCAAGAGAACGTCACCCAAAACCCTATCAGACTGGCGAAGTAGATCCCCGTACAAGGGAACGCATCGTGCCAATGGAAGTTTTAAGTTGTGGATACTCCAGGTAAATTTCTCCATTCTTCCACCAAAATTAGCCCCCAAGCGCAAGCTGACAAAGGCCCTGAGAACCGGTACAATGACCATGAAGACCGCCCTCGAAATCCTCGGCTATCCGACCTGACATTGGGTCGAAAAGCGGCAAAAGAGCCATCTAGTCAGCAACAATTCATCGCCTTCGAGATGCATGACTTGGTCAGTCGTGCTTGAAGCGCCGTTTGGAAAATTCAGCACGAAGGGCTGCCGCATCGAATTCCGGTACCTTTGACAGCTATGCATATGAACCTTGAGATGGCCTTCCCATTCGTAATCCATCGTAGGGGACCAGTCCAGGGCCCAAGAAGGAACATTCGCGGCGGATCCGAGATGGAGACCACTGTAGCTAGTCCGAGAATACAGTGTTCTTCAATATCGGATCAAGAACCGAGGCGGTGCGCAAGTCTACCGATTTGATGATGCTTCCAGATTGATTCAGACGGTCGATCCATACGAAAAGCTGGTCCAAGTAGAAGCAAAAGTTGCCATGGAGCATGAAGCGCGAGCCCGGCACCGGATTGAGCAGCTCTGGAATTACCCGGCGATGCTGGAACCAAGGACTTCGTAAAAGATCACGTAGGACATTCGCCGCTTCAGATCCATATATGACGCCTCGAAGAGCTTGGCTGGAAAATACTGATTGCTTGTTCGCGGCTTCTCCTAGCCAGATGATCAGAGATCGACTCAGGCCGAACACCAATCCAATTGTTTGAACTTGCTGAGCTCTGTCTTCATCTTCTTTTTGATTGAGACACACAGCGTCCACCCGTATCACCCTTTTGAATGGAGGCAGCGATGGACGTGATTGAGCTTCCTCGGATGTGTTCTCAAGAATGCGGCGCAGCGCCCCGAGCAGGCTCAAGCTGATAGGTAGCTGAACATCGTCACAAGTGGTGTACTCGGTATTGATGCCCGTACCCCATGCATGTGACAGACTCGAAGACTGATCAAAAACTGCCAGACAGATAACGCGCATCGAAGCACGGAAAGGCTCGTCGATGTTGTTGGACAGCTCGAATTTGTGGAGTCGGACAAAGAGAGGTCCTGGCGACTTGCACGTACTGTAGAGAGACTCCAGACTGCTTTCGATCTTACTCAAGGCATTCGTAAGATCAGTCGTGCCGAAAGCCGTTTCGTCCTCGTTGCCGTACAGTGTCGGGTCCGTGACATCCTCATGATAGCCAGGTTGCGGCAAATGCTCCCATCGTGGGGAGAGACGTGAGAAAGAGTGATTTTGCTATAAATCAGCTTGATCAAATACCTCTCTCACAGCCCGGCTACGCCTCGTACTACGAAGCTGGCTCGCATGCATCGAAATACCCGTCAGAGTGAGACAGACAATGGTCAACTCCGTCAAGGCATGACCATCGGTGTTCTTCACGCGGTCTGGCTATTCATGAAGATAGTTCGCATTCCGGTTGCGGGTGTGCTATGAAGAGCAATAAAAGCAGCTACACCACACGAGGGCCCTTTCAACAAATAGATGTTCCGGTGCATCTCATCAATTTTCCGCGGGTGGTCGACTGGCAATTGGTGATGCAAAATGTGAGGAGGAAAGGTGAAGTCGAAAGACGCAGCGCCGATGCGCTAGTCTTCGCGCTAGTACATGTAAGCACGTGATTCGGCTATAGGTCGGCAATAAGCAACAGGGAACCTCATCCTCGCCCATATCAACAACAGCATCATCCTGGATCCATGACCCATCGCATTATGAATCCGAGCAAAGGAACGTCCCCTGATCTTCACCACCACATCGACGACGGACAAAGCAAGATGCATCTTCTTCTTTCACTTAATTCCTCCCCCCCCCCTTAGCCTCGGCCATATGAAAGTCTATTGCGGGGCTCTATACCCGAGGTGCCTACACGTGATGCCCCATCAAGCCATTCCCGAGATTCACAGTCGACGATTCAGACCTCACTCTACTCATAACCGTTAACCCATCCCCCTTTCTCATCCAGCAGAAAACCCATCGCAGTCGCCCAAAACGTCATAAACCATCATCATGGAGATCAAGAAACCCCAACAAAACGCCTACGTCCTGGGCGTAGGCCTGACGAAATTCATCAAGCCCCGCCAACAGCGCTCCTACGTAGAAATGGGCTTCGAAGCGGGCGTGAAGGCCATGCTCGACGCCCAGATCACGTTTGATGACGTGGAAATGGGCGTCGCGACGTTCTGCTATGGGGATACGTGCAGTGGACAGAGGGTGTTCTATCAGTTTGGCATGACGGGGATTCCGATTTACAACACCAATAATGCGTGTGCGACGGGATCGACGGGATTGCACATGGCGCGGACGCTCGTTCGGGCGGGTGCGGCGGATTGTATCATGGTGGTGGGGTTTGAGCAGATGCAGCCTGGTTCGATCAAGTCCGGGTGGAGTGATAGGCCTAGTCCCATGGGTCTTGCCACTCAGATGATGGAAGATGAATTCGGCAAGCATGATAGCCCCAGGAATGCGCAGTACTTTGCGAATGCTGGACGAGAGTACATGGAAAAGTGAGCGACCATGGTCATTTGGATCTCTCGAAAAGCTGACTCTTGTCCTTAGGTATGGGGCCAAAGAGGACGACTTTGCAGAAATCGGCCGTATCAGCCACGAACACTCCACTCGAAACCCCTACGCCCAATTTCAGCAAGAATACACCCTTGATGACATCAAGAAGTCGACCATGATCCACTTCCCTCTCACCAAGCTCCAATGCAGCCCCACCAGTGACGGCTCCGGAGCCGCGGTCATTGTATCTGAGCGTTTCCTCAAGTCCAAGCCACATCTCATGAACCAGGCAATCCTCATGGCAGGCCAGCAGCTGCAGACCGACCCTCCATCGCTCTTCTCCAAGAGTGCGATGGATCTGTGCGGTTTCGGAATGACCAAGAATGCCGTGGAGCTGGCGTATAAGGAAGCTGGTGTCGGACCAAAGGACATCGCAGTATGCGAGCTTCATGACTGCTTCTCCGCCAACGAGCTCATCCTGTTGGAAGGTCTTGGTTTCGCCGAAAAGGGCAAAGCCCACGACTTGGTCCGCAACGGCGACATCACCTACGGCGGCAAAGGTCCCATCATCAATCCATCTGGCGGTCTGATCTCCAAAGGTCATCCTCTTGGTGCCACCGGTCTGGCTCAATGTGCTGAACTGACATGGCAGCTGCGTGGATGGGCGAATAACCGCCACGTTGATGCCAAGGCTGCTCTACAGCACAATCTGGGGCTTGGTGGATGTGTCGTAATCAATGTATACAAGCGTGCAGATGGCAAGCAGAACAAGAAGCTGTCAGACCAAGAGGCAATCAAGGGTACCAAATGGAACTACAACCCAGCGACAGCAGCCAGGACGCCCTCGATGGAAGAGGCGAAACAGGTGCTGAGCAAGAAGTATGCGGTGCAGTACGCTCTGGCCGACACCCCAGAGAAGATCCAGTCGAGATTGTAAGCACTTTGCGACTTGGGCAGCAAGCATCAACTTTTGATTCCGTATGTCCGTTGCTTTCTTTTGAGTAGTTCCGTTCATCAGGGCTGCATCGGCAAGACGCCTTCCCGTCATGTATCGACAATGTGCTCCCAGAGGTGTCCCGCATACCCACTGCTCACCACCTGTCCAGCTCCAAGCATTCCCAATCGCCGTGGCCGGAAACGTACGCAGCCAAGTTGTACGCAACAGAATTGTTCAGCATGCGGTCATCCATGATCAACATCCTGCGAATATTTCCCTTTGCCTTGCATGCTTTCGAGGAATGCAGCCTGCATTCACCACAGTCCTCAACTCGGACTGCTTCTCGATCTGTGTGATGGTCGAGAGTTGCCGTCTCTACCCAGTCCAACGAAAGAAACTCCCGCAAAATCACGTGCATACGATTGCGATGAGTTCTGATGGCATCGAGGACCGGACGCCATTCCGCCACATAGCTCATTGCTCCCTCCGGCTCATCGCATTCGACACTCTGCAGCTCGGGAGATTTCTGGATCCAGCGAGCAAGAATGGTTGGGCTGATATCGCCAAGTGAAAAGCTCCTATGTTCCAAGGCTGGCATGTCGGGGAAATTCAAGTCGCTGAACATTGCAACGGCGGTTCATCAATGATCAGGTTTGTTAAATTTGGGGACAGTTTCGGTAGCATTCCCTTCCAGAATCGCTGTCGCCATTCCCAACGTGCGTCGAATTGTAGCGTCTTCAAAGCGCCCACATGAAGCTCTTCCCACCAACGCGATTGCACATTCTCGTAGTCAGGTTCAGCGTCCAAGATTCTTAAAGCTACCTTGGCGCCTTCATTAGGCAGCACCACCCATTGACGGCAGCTTTCGATTTCCTTCACGCCGCAGCAGCCTCTACGACGAGCAGCCGCTCATCAAGACGACTGGCGTGGACAGCTTGAAGAGAGGACACAAGGCACCAAAGAAAGGAATCAATGAGAGCAGATTGTTAAGTCGTATCATCGTTGATTGAGCACAAAACCACATACCGCTCACAATTCATATTCGTTCTCCATCGTTCATTGCCCAGACCTTGTCGTATGCTATCCCATCATCATCATTCGTAAGCGCGTCCGAGAAACACGTGGAAACAAGGACGCTCAAATATTGTGTAGAAAGTGCGATCCAAGGCGCTTCTAGCTTCTCCTCCTCCTGTCACCTCTTTCATCCCTCCAGGGACTCTCATCAGGATACCGCCTCCCGCTCACACCGGTGTCTGCGAATCTGGTCTGTTTCGGCCTACTACGGTGTCCATCGTCTTCGGGATAGTCCAGATCGTCGTCGTTCATTCTGCCGCCCCTCCTATCCCGAGGATCTCTCATGTCGCGTGGGTCGCGGTAATCTCTCGGATTTCGATCCCTAGGGTCACGATCTCGAGGATCGCGAGAATGACTCATCTCTCGAGGATCTCGGGGCGGAGGGGCGCCGCCTTCAGCATATCTTCCCCCGCCAGGTGCTCCGGGTGGCATGCCTTCAGGACCCGGTGGTATGTCATCGTAAGGAGCAGGCGAATTGTTGTAGCGTGATCCCGGAGGTGGTCTTCCTGGACTATCAAACCTACGATCTCGAGGGTCTCTCGGGTCTCTTCGATCACGCGGATCCATATGAGGTGGAGGACGGCTACCAGACTCGGGGCTTCGGCTCGGGTACCGTTCTTGTGCACGTCGGATAGATGGATTGCGCATGGGAGGCCCGCCCGTATAGTCTTCAGGTGGAGGCCGAGAGGGTGGTCTTGCCATAGACGGAGGTTGTTTGGCTACATGAGCTGCGAATAAGGGCCCTGCTGAAGGTCCAAAAGATGGTCCTATACCGTTGCCTGCTGGAGCTGCTGGCGAAGGAGACTGAGGTCGCTCATGTGTGGAGTGTCGCCTACCCGGCGGTGGCTCGTCATACCCGCTGCTAAAGTAGTCGTCGGCCTCTTTCTGGCTGGGCGTAGGCTCGTGGCTCTTCGAATGTCGCAGTCCTTGGTCTCGTGATTCCGGGCGAGAGTGATTTCGGCGATGCTTGCTGGAGTCTGACCCAGTGGGATGTCTTGGCTGAGGGCTGTAAACAGGATCTTCGTCCTCTGCATCAAAGTCTTCGTCTACCACGCCTGAGATGGGGCGCTCTGGTGGTCGTTCCAGCTGCGAGCTCCTCCGATGATGATGACCGTGTCCAGAATGCTCTCTTGGCGAGTAGCGATTCTCGTATGATCCCGCAGAAGTCGGTGGAATCTCTTCAGGATGGTGATATCCCTCAGGATGACTTCTTCTCTTGGCATCGCGGTCCCTACTGCGGCTGCTTACCCTGCCGCCCCATAAGTGCGGACTGCCCACATTCCGAGCGATGCGCCCGAAGGTCGACGCAGCCTCCTTGCCCTTGCCCATCATTGTCTGGCGCGGACTAACTGCCGGACGCTTTGAGTTGCGTCGAACAATGGAAGGTCTGCCATCCACGTGCCTGTACAACGGATTGCGGAAGTACGCCAGGGCAGGACCTCTTGAATCCACTGAACCCTCGTCATCGGTTGGCGGGTCCCCTTCTCGTCTGGGCGGACGCTCGGGGGCATGTAGTCTTCTTGGCGGCTCCTCATGCTCCACTTCGATCTGATGTCGACGCTCCTCTTCCTCCGCTTCTCTCCGCAAGCGCTCGGAGACGCCTTCATACCACGCAACCATGTGCTTGTCCGAGTCGTGCGGGAAGCACTCTCTGGGCAAAATCTTGGGAAAGATCTCGCCCGTATCTGCATCTTTGATATCCCACTTCTGTACGGCTTCTCTTATGAAGTCCGAGTGCTCTTCGGGGCCCAGCAAAAGCTGGATTGTCTGCCACATAATCCATCCTTCAGTCTTCAACGCCGGAACCGTCGGATCGGTGAATGCTGTCGCATGCGTATACGCAGGTGGTTGCAAGCTGTGAAGGCATCCCAGGCTCTTGTAAATGAATGCGATACTTTCGCTAGGAGTGCCGAGGAAGAGCTGGTCATAGTTGCCGTGCAAGTCGCGGTAGAAGTGGGCCAGCTGGTTAGGCGTAAGATCGGGATTGTCAGAATGCTCATATCGCTCATTCTATGAGATATTAGCATCTGCAGCCTTGACCCGCCTCAAGACGGTACTCCGAACATACCATGAGGTTCTTCAGTCCTCGCAATAAGCTCTTCAGCTTATCCGTACCCGTCTTGTCCGGCTTGAAGAGGTATCCCCAATACTCGTACGCCTCACGCTGCTCGCTCTCCGTCTCATGCTCGTTGGCCCCCTCCTCCCGCTCCTCTTCCACCGCGCCCTCCGGTGGCGGTGTGTGTACGGGCGCCGCGTCCGCCATGGTACCTGCTCAGGTGTCTGACCCAAGTTGATGTTGCGCTGCTAGATGACGTGAGACGGCGAATGCAGAGCCGGGCTTCTAACAGTCGTTGAGATTGGCTTATACTACATAGGGTGCGTCTGAAATAAGACGTTGTTTGTATCTGATGGTAGGTCCCGTGCGATAATCAAGTGGCCGGATCCAGCTGCTACGGTCAGTGATAGCAATGTGTGAGCAGAATGGTAGCGGCCGCGAGGTTGTGAAAATATTGCGACATGTCACGAGAGGCGACAAATGTCTCTGAGGACGGCGTGACGATGTTACGCACGTGTTTCCCGTCGCCCGTGCCGAGTCGTGTTTGTGATACCAGCTACGTCACCACCATCAATCACCACGGATGCTGCTCCGGGGTCTCGTATCGGAAGCAGGGGCGTCAGGACTCATCACATGCAAGTCAGCATGCACATCGCTGAGTACATTGAGTAAGAGACGTTATACTCTCATTACAAGTCTTTTCATTCACTCATTTCTAGCTATTGGAGACTCGCTGTCAGAAGTCTCATGCACAGAATACAGGATGGCTTCCAGACCCACTGGACCGACCATCTGCTTGCAGTCACGTTGCAGGCCACGCCAAGCCGAAGTACATCTATCGCGCTTCAGACTTCAGTGCCATGAGCTGCTCTCGCAGTAGCTTCTGATGCGCACTGTAGTCAAACGTGGACTCGAGAAAGCACCAAAGGTGACCTTCCTTGCGATCCGTATGTGAGGAACACTACACGTGGGTCCTCTAGTGCTCGAGCAGTCTCAAGCTTCCCTGCACCACGACGTTCTCGAGGACGGAACCTGGTGGGACGTCGATCGTCTGGCCCTCGGTTGCGACGATGATGACAGTGCCCTTCATGACGACGCCACGGCCGAGGTTGACGGCACCGGTGATGGTGAGGTGGTCAAGCTCCAGGATCTTGGGGATCGATGGAATGCGAGACTGGAAGTTGGAGACCTTCTTGAAATCGCTGCCCAGCTTGATGAGCGGGGCTGGACCGAAGCGGTTGGGGTCCATGATGAGCTGGCCGTGCTTCAGCGTGTAGAGATCCGACTTGACGAGCATGAGGTCGGAGCAGGTCTTGACTGGCAAGAAGCGACGACGTGGGACGTTGACACCGTGCGCGTTGTTAAAGTGGCGAATGGCCGCACCGACGGCGGTCTCGAGCTGGATGATGCTAACGTCCGCCTCGCCCTTCTTGTCGGCTGGGATGCTCTTGCCGTTGGGGATGATCTCCATGGCGAGCTCATTGTTCTCAACAATGCGCTTGACGGCACGCAGGTTCATCCAGATGTTGTTGGTGTTGAAGTACTTGAACTTCTTGATCGACTTGAACTCGTTGACGTACTGCTTTGGCACCTGGGCAATCTCCAGAAGACGAGCCTGTCCCTCGTAATCGATGATGGTACCACCCTTGACATCAGCCTTGGTCTTGTCCGTCAACTCCATGATGTACTCTGCTCGTGTCTCCACCATGTGCTGCAGGATGTTCAGGTCGACGACGGCTCCCAGGTTGTCGGCGTTGGAGAGGAAGAGGATCTCGATGCCGCGGTCAAGCAGCTTGTCGAGGATGCCGGAGTTGTAGAGCGACTCAAACACGTCACCGTGGCCTGGTGGGTACCAGTCGGAGATCTGCGAGTCGTAGGACTTGGGGGCTGGGAGGAGCGAGTCCTTGAGGATACGTGGGTAGCGGGACTGGTTGAAGGTCATAATGTCGATGTTGTGACCCTCGTATTTCTTGATGATGTTGGCGGTGTCGGCGTCCGTGTTGAACGAGTTCATTAGCACGAACGGGACGTTGACGTCGTAGGTGCGGTTGAGGAATTCGATCTGACGGACGGAGAGGTCGAGGAAGGACATGCCCTCACGGACCTCGATGACGGACTTGGGGCCAACGCATCCCATGGAGGTACCGAGACCGCCGTTGAGCTTGAGAACGGCGAGCTTGCTGAGGAACTCGACAGACTCGGTGTTGCTCAGGCTGTTGTAGTCGACGACCTGGTCTGGCTTTGGTGGGGAGATGCGGGACCACTCGATCTCGTTGCCCTTGGCCTTGTCGTTCAAGTACCGACGGAAGAGGGCGAAGAAGTTGTCCATCTCAGTCTCGAAACGCTGCGAATTGTCAGATCCTCTGCTTCCTAGCTCTTGAACGCTCCTCTGCTCACCTTCTTCTCGCTGGGGTCCTTGACGCCGTCCGCCAAGTTGTTGAGGGCGTTGCGCATCTGGGATGCAGCGACGGAGGTCGAGGTGTTTTCGAAAGCCTAATTGATCTCATGTCAGCCTCTATGAAACATGTAGCATTGCGGCACTGGTAAGAATAGCGGATCTGGGTCGTGCAGTCCTGCCCATGTCGTTCGAAGTTCGGCGGGTCGAGGTGTAGGAATGGACGAAAGTTGGTGACGGATGATTTCGTCGTAGTAGAGATTGCAGTGAGTGGTTGGCCGTTGCACGCAACATCATGCATGGCAAGTGTGAAGCGCGAGAGGATGGTGTTGGGCTCCGCCACGTGACGACGCATGGGAGCTGGCTGCAGAATTTTGCAAGGACGATCGTGGAGGAAGGCGGCTGCAGGAGTTCGCCGCTGCGGCTGCATGTTTGCTTCGAAACGTCGAAATTCGAGTCGCTGGCCATTGCCAGCGAGGCAGTGTGTCTGCTCGCGATGCCCTTGTATACTGCTTGATCCATATCCGCCGCTACTGCTGAGGCTGCTGCTCTGCTCTGCTGCTCCTCCGGGGGCTTGGACAAAAAGGAGGTGTTTCATACATACCACATGGGACTGCGACTTGCCATGGTGACGCTCGCTGGCGTCGGCGCCATTGGACTTCATGTGAGAGGGTAGGGCGTCCTTGATCTTGGAGGCCATCTTCTCCATGCAATCTGTGAGTGTGTTGATGAGAGGTGTGTTCCTGCGAAGAGCGGTCAGTTGGATGTCAGTGGAAAATGGTGAAAGCAGTGTTGCAGTAGCTCACTCACAATGTGGGGTCGGTGAGGTCAGGTTGTCGTGGGGATGATGGTGTCGCACGGGACCTGCTTTTGACAGCTGGAGGCGCCGGCGTGTGCGGTGGTGGATGGGAGGATGTGCGAAGAGGAAGGAGGCGGAGGAAGTGAGTGAGGAGGTGGTCGTCGGTGGGCAGGTTGTTTCCCTTAATATTTGGACGCGGTGCACGCTCGATGTTTTGGTGGGGCACCTTCCGCAAGCTGCAGCAGGAAAGAACGCTAGGCCAGGGTCCAACGTCACCCGTTGGGAAGGAGCCACCCACCCAACCACCTCACCTCAGTAGTCTTGAAGTGGAATCGGAAACTCGAGATGCTGCTCCAAGGCCGGCAGCTCTCCGTTAGCACCTCAGCGTCTGTTCCCTTTTGCTATCGGCTGCAGCTCAAATTTCCTGCATCTCTCCCTTGTGCGACCACCGGCACGCTCCCGCCGCGCATGGAGCAGGTTTCTCCTCCCGATCAGGCGGTCCGCGAGCCGAGATTGAGCATCAGGCCTCCTAACGAACCTTGAGGACTGATACCGGGCGCCACACATACGGTGAGAGAACGAGCAAGTGCATCAGTACAGCAGATCTGTCTCAAGCCACACAAGACATCCATCCATGAATCCCACTGGCAGGTGTCTAAATGTTTAGAGTTTCGGCATCTCGCCCACCTCATCTCCAGGTCGAAGCCCCAGGACAGAGCTCTGGAGAAGACGTGGACCACGCTGCCACGCGGCTGGCACACCTCGGCCATCTGCCACCGCACGTTTATAACTTCGTACCACCCATACCTACCAATTACTCCGTTGCTATTTCCACATCCCCATTCTTAATAGTGCAGGCATTGGGCTCGCCATCGCTATCTCGCGGCATGTCAAGACCGAAAAAGTTGCCTGGCGCGGGTCGGGATCATCGCATCTGCAGGTCCGCTGCGGCGCTGCTGCCCGCGGCCGCCACCCGCCGAATGTCTCTCGACGCCGTGACAGCACAACTCACGTCAGCGAAGCAGAGCACGTGGACCATGGAGAGGCCTGCCGTCGCGCCGATATCAAAAATTCGGCAGAAACAGCAACGCCGGACATGGATGGCCGGTTGCAACTGTTTAGCAGACCTGAAACGTGCACATCCCACGCCGAGCAATCCACCTTCACGCGTCGTTCAGGAGACGTGTGGAAGGGAAAGGGGAACGACGACAACTCATCAATCCAGCAGCTCCCCAAGGCGGATGTCCATTCTTCACTCACTCTGCAGGTACACTCTTTCGGCATTGGCTTATCTCAAGGCTGGAATTCGACCCATGCATGTCCCCACTGGCGTTTCATAGACAGATCACCAAACAGCGCCTTCCCCCGATGCAGATGCAGGTCCGGCCAGCCCTGTTGCTGCGACATTTTGTCTTGAACACATGTTGTGCCTCCTACGTCGCCTTTCACTTGGATGCTCAGACATTGTACGGCTTGATGACACTGAGTCTCGAAGAGGCTCTTGAGTCCACTGCGGGAGTCGTGCTCCTCTCTCCAGATGGCGGCCTGGCCCTGGCCTTCCCCGGCGCTGAACTGTCGACTCTGGTAGCCCGCTTCGCCTGATCTTCTGAGGACGGAACATCTCGAATAATCTCCACAGCAGGCGCATCCGCAAAAGCAATCGCCCGGGGCTTCTCGATCCGCAATTGCACACGGGCTCCAGGCAAGACAGCATCCAGCATCTTCTTCCTCAGCTGCGAAATCGTGAAATCAGCCAGCATCTCCAGCGTCTCAAACGAAGTCTCTTGGATGACCTGCCACACATCATATCAGCCAAACCTCCCCTCCACACGAGACTGTAGAATCAAACAACGAACAACTCACCTGTACCACCAACGCTTCAAAATTAAACAACGCAGCGGTCTGTCCAGTCTCCTCCGCATCCCCCCGCAAATTCAACGCCACACTCACCACCAACGGCTGTTTCTGACTCCTCTCGTACCCATTCACCCCAATCAGCGTCATAATCTTGATCCCTTCCACTCTAAACACCCGCGAAAACTCAACCACCTTCCCTTCCAAATCATACCCCGTCGTACTCAACAGACTTACCCCCCTCTCACTAAACATACTCGCTTTCGGCAACTTCACCTCCACCGTACTCCTCGCCACCACAAACCCCCTCCCCTCCTTCGCCCCTAAAAGCCGTATCGCGCGCTCTACATGCTGCGATACTCCCTCCGCCGTCTGCCCCTGCGTACTCCGCTTGCGGATCTCCTTGGCCAGAGCGCCGTAGTGGATCGTCGAATCGTCCAACCGGTCTTCATGGCATGCGAATGTCTTCTGGAAGAGCAGATTCAGCGTGAGTAGGCAGGGTTGTTCTTTGGAATTGCCCCAGACGTCCGGCGCGAGGATCCCGTGGGGGAGTTGCAGGTTTTGGATGCTGATGAGGTCGCGCGTGGTGGGGTCGTCTGTGGTGGTGGTCAGGCGGGCCATGGAGTCTACGAATCCCGGCTCGGGGTGATGGTAGGGTTGTTGTTCTGGAGTAGGAGTAGGAGGAGGAGGGAATGCTGCCATGTTTTTCTTCTTATTTTTTTTTTTTGTCGATGTTTGTGTGTTTGGGGTTTGCTACTCGAATGGTGTGGCGCGGTGGGATGGTACTGACGGATAAAATTTGACGCGGGACCTGGGTTTGGCGCTTACCTTAGGGTTTCTTGGGGTTATGTGAACGTTGTTGATACCCTAATAAGAGTTTCTTAGGCCGGCGAGATGCTTATCGTCGAGATTTCCTATTATCAATGACTGTGATATGAAGTTGCATCGTTTAGGAAAATTAGCAGTTTGTCCGATGTGATTTGACAGAAGAATGGGAGGTTTTGCTCCAGAGACTTGTTACTCGGTCTATTTCCAACGCGGACGCAAGTCAATGTGCATGATCGTGTCAAACCCGAGACTTTCTCATGACAGGCGCTTCGAAAGATGTTACGAAAGGCAGTGGATGTATCACAGACGTATTTGCACCACTGATATCTATATTCGTTTGCAATGACCTCTCCCATACCCCGCAGCCTACCATTGTCCACGGCAGAATGCGTTGCACTCTCTCCGTCATTGCCAAGCAGCGACATTCTCACAATATTGTTAGCTCCTTGCTCTGTCTTGGCTGCCCTGAAACTGGAAGGCACATGCTTCCAGGAATCGTTCAGCGATATGCTCTCCACTCCATCAATCGTATGCCCAGAACTCATGCCATGACACCCATTCCGAAGCGCGGGTAATTCATCTTCGTGTTTAGTTACACGGCACAGAAGTACAACATCGCAACATGCAGATCAAGCAAGAGGCTACGGCTGGTGTGGACGGGTAAGTAAGGAAGGTCATGATCCTCGACCTGAATGCAGGGGCGCAGCTCTGTAGCTCTCGATCAATTCGTCTTGGAGGTCACTTACGGCTTCTCTGCATTGGGACGGGCTCCAGGTCCCAACGAGGACGTAGCTTCCGCTCCGCTCTCGGGATCGCAGAGAGGCTTGTCTGTCTCGAAACCCAAACCGGTGTTGGCGCCCGTCATGAGCACGATCTCTCTGCAGTATACACCCATACAGCCGTTGCTTCGCAGTGGAAAGTGAATGTAGCTGCGCGGAAGGATAGGACTTCTGGAATGATCTCGTGCCGGGACTCTGATATAGCGTGCTGCCACTTACACGTCGTTTTGGGTTGACGCAGTATCTCCGCCTCGTTGTACGTATTGTGAAAGCACAACGCCAGAAGGCACGCAGGAAAGCGCTGACACAGCTCTTCCCCTTATGCTATCCCTGTGCGCTGAATGTCGAAGCTGACAGCGCCGAAGGAGAGCCAATGGCTTTGTTGGCTCTCGATGGCCGTTCAGTCAGCTGCTTGTGGAACTGCAGTTGAAGCGTGACGGAGCTGGTTGGCGGCATGTACGAAGCACCTTGAACTTTGAGGACCGAAAGTGAGCTTGGCCAGTATGCATGCTGTGGCGTCTACGCAAGACGGGAGGTGGCACGGCATGATACGGCGAGGGAGAGAGAGGTGTTGTTTTGCGCGCGAAAGAAGGAAGAGAAGCGATTATATTGGCTGTGGCCTATGCACAGCGTGGTTGCAGGGATCGGCCGCACGATGACGCTAATCGAGGTTCGGTTCTTGGATCGTAACGGCAGAATCAAGGCACATGTGCAAGGCGACAACGGCAACTGCAACACGGAGCGTTCTCGTGGCACTCGCAGGCAGCAGGGAAGATGGTGAGAGAAGGGGAGCCATGGCCAGCAGGTCAGACAAATGTCAAAGGCAAAATAATAATGTACCGCAGAGGCAAATATATCTATCGCGAGGAGGGTTTGCGCTAAGCAGGATGCGAGATCAAACGTGGCCGAGTTTCTGGGCGGGAAGCTCGAGCTCCTCCCACTTTCACATTGCTTCACATCGCCTACCTTACCTTACTGTGTACTCTCCCCACCACCTCTTCACCACCACACGCCCGCCTCTTCTTCTTCTTCCCCTCCACATCTTCACGCTCCTTACCTGCGTCGTCCTTGTTTGCTCCTTTCACACCATCATCTCCTCAGCCAATTGAAACGCCGGCGATTGCGTCCCCACAGGCTGACAGCTGCGCCAACATTGGCTCCCATCTAGCTGATTAGCTGACCCGCGCAGCTCTCAGCTTCCACACACCCAAGCGCCAAACTGTACGAGGTCGCCTCCTCCGGCCAGCTCGAGGGCACCGCCATGGCCTCAGAAAAGATGGAGCACGAGACCAAAGCCCAGGGGGTCATCGAGGCCGCCCAGGACCCCAACAGCTCCATCAGCGCCGAGCAGGCAGAGCAGGCAGTCATGAAGCAAGCACGGCAAGCAGGCGCCGCAGCCTTCGAGTTCGATCCGGACGCGACACCCGAACAGAAGGCTGCACAGGCAAAAGCGGTAAGACGAAAGCCCAATGGCACAAACGTGGCATCGAACATGTGAAACTGATTTCATGCCCAGAATGCCGGTCCACGATTACAAAGAAAGCACAAGACTGCAGCGCTTGTCAGCGATGCCGACGACGGCGAGGCCGCCGGCTATGATCTCCCACCCCCGAGCAAAGAGGGTGCCATCGCTGCTCCCCCGTCTCCCACGTCCGCCCAAGCGAACGGCCATGTAGGAAGAGACGGAGAGGAGGAATTCGCCAAAGTAGGCTGGGCGCCGAGATTCGGAAACCCGGCAGACAACGAGGAGGTCATATATCAGGATCACCAGACATTTCTCGAGGGCAAGATCGATGACAAGTTCTTCGGAGATTGGTATCACAATGCAGCCGTCATTGTCTTTGCATGTCTCTCCTCTTGGGTGGTTGCGGTGTTGGGAGGTGGGCTGGCCTGGGTCTTCCTGATCATGGCGGCCTGCGGTACATACTACCGGACATCGATACGGAGGGTACGGAGGAACTTTCGAGACGACATTACCCGTCAGCTCGCGATGCGCAAGCTGGAGACAGACACGGAATCGCTCGAATGGATCAACAGCTTCATGGTCAAGTTCTGGCCCATCTACGCACCGGTACTGTGCTCGACCATCGTAGCCTCTGTGGATCAAGTACTGAGCACGTCGACGCCCGCCTTCCTGGACAGCATGAGGATGAAGTCTTTCACGCTCGGCACTAAACCGCCACGGATGGAGCACGTCAAGACATATCCCAGAGCCGAGGACGATTTTGTCATTATGGACTGGAAGTTCAGCTTCACGCCGAACGATGTCGCAGACATGACAGCGAAGCAGGTCAAAAACAGAATCCAGCCAAAAGTCGTCCTCGAGATCCGAGTTGGCAAGGCAATGATCTCGAAAGGTCTTGATGTCATTGTGGAAGATATGGCGTGCACGGGTACGATGCGTGTGAAGATGAAGCTGCAGCTCCCCTTTCCGCATATCGACCGAGTTGAAATATCCTTCTTAGGCAAGCCAGAGATTGACTACGTTTGCAAGCCGCTTGGTGGTGATACCCTCGGCTTCGACATGGGCTTTATCCCCGGCCTGCAGAGTTTCATCCAGGAACAGATCCACGCCAACCTCGGGCCTATGATGTACGACCCGAATGTGTTCCCGATCGAAATTGCGAAGATGCTTGCGGGCAGCCCAGTCGACCAGGCTATCGGAGTCCTGCAAGTGCACTTCCACGGTGCTCAAGGACTCAAGAATCCCGACAAGTTCTCAGGTACACCTGATCCCTACGCCACGGTCTCTATCAACAACCGGGACGTTCTGGGTAAGACGAAGACCGTACACGAAAACGCTAATCCTCGATGGACCGAGACTGTCAATGTCATCCTCACAAGTTTGCGTGAGCCACTCACAATCAACCTCTTTGACCACAACGATTACCGCAAGGACAAAGAGCTTGGTACAGCGACCTTCAACCTCGAGCAACTGGAGAAGGATGACGAGTGGGAGAACCAGACACTCGAGGTCATTGCGAATGGCAGGCCGAGGGGCACCATTTCCGCCGACATTCGCTTCTTCCCCGTCCTTGAAGGTCGCAAGCTGGAAGATGGCACCGTCGAGCCACCTCCAGAGAGCCTGACAGGTATCGCCAAGTTCACTGTGGAACAAGCGAAGGATCTTGACGGCACCAAGTCCTTGGTCGGTCAGCTTAACCCATATGCTGTTCTGCTTCTCAATGGCAAGGAAGTGCAGATCTCTCAGAAATTGAAGCGCACAAACAATCCGATTTGGCCAAATGCCACTAAGGAAATGCTAATTACGGACCGGAAGAAGGCCAAGCTGGGCCTGGTGATCAAGGACGACCGAGACTTGGCAGCCGATCCCATCATTGCTAGTTACCAGATCAAGCTCGATGACCTTCTCGATTTGACCAATAAGGGCCAGGAATGGTACAATCTGGCAGGCGCGAAGACAGGACGAGCGAAGATGACGCTACAGTGGAAGCCAGTCGCTCTTCGCGGTGTTACCGGCGGTAATGGCTACGTGGACCCGATTGGTGTCATGCGCTTCCACTTCCAGTCCGGTCGCGACCTGATGAACCTTGATACACTCGGCAAGTCAGACCCATACGCTCGTGTTCTCCTGTCCGGTATCCAGAAGGGCCGGACTGTCACTTGGAAGAACGATCTCAGCCCAGACTTTGACGAAATCTTCTACGTCCCCGTGCACTCTACACGCGAGAAACTGACAGTCGAGGTCATGGATGAGGAAAATGTCGGCAAGGACCGCACAATGGGACAATTGGAGATCGATGCTGCTGAGTACATCCGACAAGATGAGAACGGCGAGTACATGGTACACGACACCAAGAACAAAGTCATCTCTGCACCGCTCCGTGTTGGAGCAGGCCAACCAAAGGGCACCATCAACTTTACTGTCGCTTTCTATCCGACGCTGCACGTTGTCGACCCCGAGGAAGAGACCCGAGAGAAGGAGAACGAAAAGATACGAACCAGCGAGGATACTTCACCAGAGAGCGTGGACACAAAGGAGCCAAACGGGACTGCCACTAGCACTTCAACGACCCCTTCAAAGCCAGACGTGGGGCGCAATGGTACGGCTGGGACTATCAGTACCTTGCGCCCGACAGCAGATGAGATCAAGATGCGCAAAGTCCTTGCTCAGAATGAGGACGACCAAACGGAAGCCGAGGAAGTCCGGAAAAAAGAGCCACCAAAGGTCAAGATTGGTGTGGACGATCTCCAACATTATGGTAAGATCTATATCTTGCGCAGTTCGTCGATTACTTGCTAACACGAGACAGAGTCTGGATTGGTAGTATTCACGATTCATGAGGGTGAACTGGCCCACCCAGGAAATTACCTGGAGGTTGTCATGGACGACATGAAGTTTGCCGCTTACACCAGCGCCAAGACTCGCTCTCGGCAACACATATTCAACGAGACTGGTGATGCTATGGTGCGCGAGCTGGACTTATCTCGAATCACGCTGCGGCTGGTGTCATATTCCGACTCTAAGGGCTCCGAGACCCACAGTGTCAAGGCGAAACTCACTGGTAATACGATTGACACTCTACGGCGATGCCTCTACACTCCTACAGTTGTGACGTTGAAAGACGAGCATGGCCATGACAGCAAGATCAAGGTCTCGATGCGCTACCTCCCCGTGAAGATGCAACTGGACCCCAGCGAGTCATTCAACAACCAAGGCAACCTTCGCGTCGAAGTACTCGACGCTGCAGACCTTCCTGCGGCAGATCGGAACGGCTTCTCAGACCCATTCTGTCGCTTCGTCCTCAACGGAGATCAGGTGTACAAGACCAACGTGCAGAAAAAGACCTTGCATCCTGCGTGGAACGAATTTTTCGAGGTTCCAGTGCGGAGCAGGACCGCGGCCAAATTCCAGGTCGATGTCTATGACTGGGATTTCGCAGACAAGGCAGATTTCTTGGGCTCTGCTGGCATCAGTCTCGATGTGCTGGAGCCGTTCCAGACTCAGGAAGTCATACTGAATTTGGACGGCAAAAGCGGATCTATTCGGCTCAAGATGCTCTTCAAACCAGACTATATCACAAGATCGAGACAAGGCTCATCCACTTTCCATGGGACATTTGCGGTGCCAGGCAAGATCATTGGCGCACCAGTCAAGGGTGTTGGCAAGGTGGGTAGTGCTGTCGGTGGTGGCATTTTCCGAGGAGCGACGTTCGTTGGTCGTGGGTTCAAGAGAAGGACTGTCAGTGGTCACGATGTTCCTGACGACGCTAACGCTGAGCTACGAGCTACCAGCATGGAATCACCAGAAGAAGGGAGCCGTCCTAGTACAGCTGCCAATGGGACCACCTCCATGGATGGACTCGCAGCTCCACGCACGCCTCACCAACGTCAGAGTAGCTTTGGGCAGTACTCGCAAAGCCCTGCAGTTGCTGGCGAGCAAGGTACTGCCACCATCTCAGTCCTGAGTGCCTCCGGCTTCGAAGCCGACACTAAGCTTGAGGTCCACATTCACCAAGAGTCCAAGAGCGGTCACAAGGAGGTCTTCAAGACCAAGGCTATCAAGACGAAGACTGGTGAAGTCACCTACCCGGAGGATTCGAAGAAGATCACTTGCAATGCAGCCAGCCAGTTCAAGGTCGTCGTGAAGAACGACAAGTCTTTTGGCCGTGATGAGGATTTGGGTGAGGCTCCATTCTTCATCAACGACCAATCTTCCGGCGGCGAGCAGCAGATCCAGGTGGGACAGGGAGTTGTCGTCATTCGAACTTCGTTCCACCCTGCCGACAAGACTAGCACGCTGTCACCGGAGTCGCCTGCCAGCAGGCACAATCTAGGAAGACTCGTCAGCCGAAGGGAGCGCAGCGTGACGCCATCTGGGTAGAAGCCAGACGGAGAAACGAAAGAGCCGGACGGAAGACTCGGCTTAGTACGGCGAGCGACGAATAACATCCGACAGCGTTCTAAGACGCTCCCCAAGAAGCTGCACGTGGGCACTTTTCGACGCAAGTCGAGCACGTCAAGCCTCGCGCCATCAATCGAGGAGGAGAGTCAGGGCACTCTCGCTTCAAGCAACCAGAGATCAACGTCGGACAACTATCTGTTGACTCCTGGTTACTTTGTGAGAGACAGAGATGATCGAGTGTCTGACCAGTCGGAGGACACGATCACGGAAAAGCAAACGCGGGTGTAATTTGGCTTTGTATTTCTGCTTCTGTGGATGAAGAGTTCACAGCAACGCGGTTTTTGTTTTGTCCTAGGAGTGGGCTGGCACCGTTCAAGATACCAATTTGTGCGCGTTGTATTTGACTGAAGCGCGACAGTTCCATTAGTCTCTGCTGTATATTTAGTGTATGGACAGGCGAGCATGTGATACTGTCGTCATTACTGCTCTGCGCGGGTGAATGCTTGCCTTAATGCCTAGGATCCTACTGGTCCAAGCTCCTTCGCCCTTCCATGTTCCAGCAGCTTCGATGAGCTGCAGGGCTTGGCAAGAACATTTAGAACAACCAACATCCACTTTGTTCCCTTGTTTCGCGAGACAAAATCTTTCACTTCGACGAAGACGCTTCTATACCGAAAGAGTGAAAAGAAAGATTCCAACATCATGAGCGCGGACGAGCTTAAGGCTGAAGGCAGTAAGCACAGCCTGCACCCCGACCTACTAGCAACGAACAAATGACTGACTGACAACCCCGTCTTAGACAAGCTTTTTGCTGCAAAAGACTTCGAGGGCGCCGCTCAGAAATTTAGCGAAGCCATTGCCGCCGACCCTTCCAATCACGTCCTCTACTCGAACCGATCGGGCGCATATGCCTCGCTAAAGGACTACGAAAAAGCCCTGGAAGATGCGAACAAGACGACTGAGATCAAGCCGGATTGGTCGAAGGGATGGGGACGAAAAGGTGCTGCTCTACACGGTACAGGAGACTTGATGGGATCCGTGCAGGCGTTTGACGAGGCACTGAAGCTGGACCCAAACAATGCCCAGGCGAAGAGCGGAAAGGCATCTGTGGAGCGAGCGATCGAGCAGGAGGCAAGAGCTGACGGCATTGACCCCAGTGGTGGGCTGGGCAATATGTTCAACGACCCGAAGCTGCATGAGAAGCTGGCAGCCAACCCCAAGACGAGTGGGCTGCTGGGTGATGCCGCGTTTATGCAGAAGCTGCAGAACATGAAGAGCAATCCACAGGCGATGCAGCAGGAGATGTTCTCCGACCCACGCTTCCTGCAGGTCATGAGTGTGCTTCTGGGTATTGACATGGACATGCGATCTACTGACGATGCCGACCGAGATGCTGCCAAGTTCAGGAAGGAAAATGAGGATGGCGAGGATGTCGAGATGCCAGATGCGAGACCTTCATCGCAGCCACCGAAGAAGGAGGAGCCGAAGAAGGAGCCAGAGCCTGAACCCGAGCCGGAGGATGAGGAGGCCATTGAGCGCAAGAAGGCAAAGGAGGCTGCAGACAAGGAGAAGGCTCTTGGTACAGAGTGCTACAAGAAGAGACAGTTTGACCAGGCGATCGAACATTACACCAAGGCGTGGGAGACACACAAGGACATCACATACCTGACCAATCTGGGCGCGGCCCATTTCGAAAAGGGCGACTACGATGGTTGTATCGAGGACTGCAGGAAGGCTGTGGAGCATGGTCGCGAGGTGCTCGCGGACTTCAAGCTCATCGCCAAAGCCTTCGGTCGTATGGGCTCCGCCTATGAGAAGAAGGATGATCTCGCCAATGCTGTTGAGTACTACGGACGTTCTCTGACTGAACATAGGACACCCGAAATTCTTGCCAAGCTGCGCGCTGCAGAGAAGGCAAAGATCAAGGCCGAGAAGGATGCCTACATTGATCCAGCAGAGGCAGAGAAGGCGCGCGAGCTTGGAAATCAGAAGTTCAAGGAGATGGACTGGCCGGCTGCAGTCGAAGCATACACGGAGATGATCAAGCGTGCACCGGAGGATCCGCGTGGCTACTCGAACCGTGCTGCTTGTCTCATCAAGCTCCTCACCTTCCCTAGTGCCGTAGCCGACTGCGACGAAGCCATCAAGCGCGACCCCAACTTCGTGCGCGCCTACCTCCGCAAGGCACAAGCTCTCTTCGCCATGAAGGAATATAACCGATGTCTCGACGTCTGCGCCGAAGCCACCGAGCACGACACCGAGGGCAAGAATGCGCGTGAGATTGAAGCGCAGAGCCAAAAGGCTCTCCAAGCACAGTTCTCTGCTCGCGAAGGCGAGACGGAACAGCAAGCACAAGAGCGCATCCAGAGAGACCCGGATATCATGGCCATCCTGCAGGACCCTGTCATGCAAAGCATTCTGCAGCAGGCCAAGGGCGACCCGGCTGCTCTGCAGGATCACATGAAGAACCCGGAAATCAAAATGAAGGTGCAGAAGTTGATTGCTGCTGGTGTCATTCGGCTGGGCAGGTAAACATCGGGGAGCGGATGAAGGGAACAAGAGGAGTGGTATGAAGGTATGAAATCATGTAATCGATTGACAAAAGAGCAGCATAGCGCAAGGCGGTTACAAAGCTTCGAATATTACTTTTCCCCCGATGACACCGAACGTGATACTTTTCCCGCACAGCTAATACTGCCTTCTGCTCTACACGCGGCATCTTCAGCTCGAGATGAGCCTATTCACGGATTCGCAAATTTCCTCAGAAGTTCCTTCCAAGCCTGCAAAGACCTCTCTCAGAGGCACGAACGACAATCTCCCTCAGCGGCTTTAGAAGTTCTTATTACAGGCTCCTCCGCTTCGGAAGACTGCCCTTCTCTCCCCTTAAAAATTTCATCCATGTGTCTCTAGGACCATTCTAAGAAACTTGCTCAGAAGCCAGTACGAAAACCCAGCTGTGCCGACAGGACGTCGCATCGAGTCGAGTCGAAACTTGAACGCAAAGCACAATTCGAGAAGAAAGCACAATTCGAGACAAAGCGCAATTCGAGAAGAAAGGGTATCCCCGTCTCCCAAGGGAATCTCCATCTGTGATGGGATTCTTTTCCCGTGTAGTAGAGTGTGTTTCATGCCATACTAGCAGATCACGTTGGTGAAAGGTTCCTTCCACGTGCATAGGGGGAGAGCTGTCGAAACCCAAAAAGCGCCCAGAGAAGGGAAAAGTGGTGTTTTGGAAATGCTGTACATGCAATTACAGATAGGAATTCTACATCGCGTTCACATCTGCCTCAAAGTCTCTATGTCTATGGTCTCTTTCCGAGATGGGTATCTTTCTATGCCGCACGAAGGAGACCCTTGAACGCCTTTCGTCTCCTTGTACATATGTCCTCTTGCGCCCGTCCAAAATCAATGCTTTTCTTCATCTCCTTCCAGCTCGGGAGACCGAAGAAGAATAGCATGCCATTGCGGCGCAGCTTACTGGTTGCAGATGCCGCTCTTGCTCAGTGACGATTGAGGGTAGAAGACTTGAGGAAGGCCGGCGGTGATGGTCACTCCGAGGTTGCCCTTTGAATCGGTCGTGTAAGACTTGCAAGCAACAACGTCCATGACGTTCTGGTTCGCGGTGAAGCCGGAATTGGTAGCACCAAGAGTGATCGTGGCAGTGTTCGCAGAAGCACCTCGGTTGGTGTACACGCCGATGACCTGGTTGCTGGGCATGCCCTTGCGCATGATGATGGTCTGGGTGTCGTTGTAGATTGGCCAAGCCTTGTATGTGACGTATCGATTGTCTTGCTTGATGGCCCAGGTGCGGACCTTATTGAGGACAGTGATGTAGCTGTACAGACTGGAACTGCCCGTGGCGTATCCGGAAGTCCATAGAGCTTCGCGGTTGTATGGCACTGAGCCGCCGTAGAACTTCTGTTCCTGGCCTTGGTATAGGATTGGGATACCATCTGCCATCAAAGCGAAACCAACAGCGTTCTTGATCAGAGATTGATCGGACGTAAGGCTAGGAAAGCGTGGTTGATCCTGATTCTCGAGGAAAGAGCCGAGAAGGTTTGTGTCCTTGCAGGTCGATTTCATCGTGTTGATGCCGTTGACGAGGTTGCTGATGCTCCCGTTAGTAGCTTGGAAGGCCTGTGTAATATAGTAGAATGTCGGATAGTTCAGCATGCCCGTCATGTTGTTCTGATACGGGCAGACGTAGTTCGGGTCACTGTGGTAGACTTCGCCAAGGAAGTGCATTCCGCCTGCTGCAGACTGTAGAGAAGTGACAGATGCGCCGTTCACGTGCTTGGCACTGTCGAGACGAATTCCATCGATGGTATAGTTCTTGACCAGCTGGGCGATCCAAGTATTCCAGAGGCTCGACACATGGGAGTCCTCCGTTCTGACATCTGCAAGAGCCACGGTGTTGTCTCCTTGCCAGCACTGTTCTACACTCGTCTGGTTGTTGTAGTTGATGTCGCAAGGCGTATGGTACATGGAGGCGTTGTTGAATGGCGCACCAAAAGCCGTCGAGTAAGCAACATTGGCACGAGACGTGGCCTGTGCGAAGTGATTGGTGACTACGTCAACCATCAGATACATCCCTCGCTTGTGCAATGCATTCGAAAGGGAGACGAGATCTGTGGCAGCACCGAAGTTTGTGTTGACACTGTAGATGTCCTGCGGCCAGTAGCCATGGTATGCTTGTCCATAGGATGTAGAATCGTTGATGTTCTTGACGACTGGAGATATCCAGATCGCGGTGAAGCCCATGTTCTGGATGTAGTCAAGTTTGTTGATCAATCCCTGCCAGGTTCCTCCACAATAGTTCGCCGGGTTGCAAGAGGCTGAAGTGGAGCCATCTGTTCGTGCGAACCGGTCTGTCATGACCTGATAGACGGATTGCGATCGCCATTGGTCGGGCGTGAGAGCTGCTGCCAACCCGGCAAAGGAGGCAAGTGCTGAGATCGAGTAAAGCTTCATGGCTTGGCTGATGATGCGAAATGTCCTATAATCGAGTGAATCGAGTGAGGCTGTATTGCGCTGGGAGGTGAGTGGACAGTGTTGATGCTGATGGCGATTCTCATGCTGTGGAACTCTTACCGCTATATATCACATACAGCACCTCCTTTGACTCCAGCCTCGAACAAATACCGCGAGTCCGCGACGTCTTGTGGCGCTCTCATGGCGAGCTGGCAGAATGTTCTTCGATGCAGGAACAGGTCTCGTTGACTCGTTCGCCTTTGAGTCCATAGAATTAGAGTGCCGGATGGCGTTCGGGGCCTTTGAAGGCGCCAGGCCAGAATGAAAGGCTGGCTGACGATGGTAGAAGCGAAGACTCTTCCACGTGGCTTGGCAACGGTCAAGACAGCTCTGGAGCGCGTCATGATTCGAGAAGAAGCAATTGAGGACAAAGCATTCTTGTGATTCGTGAAGAAGGAAAGTGCCATTGCGTTATGCTTTGACACGAGCGGTGAGATTGGAGCGGGCTGGATAGAGGGTCGAGACTTTCGCCGTTGAACTTCACGAGTTGGACAGGCTCGTGCGCAACGGCTGCTCGCTCTCCCCGGCTCGTCCACAGTCCTTCCTCTTGTTGCTCACTGGCAAAGTTACAGACATGCAGATATCAGAACGATACGTGTGCCTTGATTGCTCGCACTCTTCTGCGTGAAGACGGCCGAGTCGGGGGAGGGGTGAAGTCCAGCCACGTGCCAGCCATGATTTAGCCCACGCGCGACGCGGATCATGAGCGAATGTCTGCCAAAACCTTTGTCCCTTCGTTGCAAGACTGCCGACCAGCGGAGAGGTATTTGTGCATTGTTTCCGGTGCGTGTTGGAAATGTATTTGTCCATTGTTTTCGGTGGCGGTTGGAACAAAGCCATGCGGCGACCCCGATATTGAGAAGGAACAAAGCTAATGTAAGGGTTCAGGCCGCGGCACGCGGTGAGAGATGAGGTCACATTTGGCGACGAGCCCAGAGCACGTGCGGAGATATGCTGCCCGCCCACGGCCACCCAATGAAATACCAGGAATGTGTCCACGTCGCGCAGCAAGAATGCCGACGAGGTTCAAAACGAGCTTTGCGAGATGGTTCGACAGCGTCTCAACATGCGTTTGCGACTACTTCAGCCTTCTGGAGGACGGGTTTGTACCATCGCAATTCCAAGTTCCGGTATGGGCTCCTGATGTTGAGTCCAAGGCTTGTTCTCAGGTCGTCCCATCGTTCTTTGAGCGTCAACTTCTGCTTGGGCTCAGGCGCCGGGCCCATGGTGGCAGCGACTCGATTCGCAGAAGCCGGGCCTAACGAATACTGTGACGTTCCTTTGCAGACAGATTGCTGTATGTAGATGGTCGTCCATTTGGTTCGAAGGTCACAGTCACAGTCTCAAGCGAAGCGCCCGCACAGCCAGTGTATTGCGGCGGATCTTCGTCTAAAATCGATGTACCAGACGTGTTTTCGACAGCCTTCGTCGTGAATTGTGGATTACTGCGGAGTGCTCAGCGGATGAAATCGAGGCGATAATGTTGTTCACAAGACATTTCAGGTACCTACCCACAGTGTACCCAGTAGAGAATCGCGATGGCGCTAGCGTGTGGCTCGGCCCGGTGTCCGTAAAACATCAATCAAAGCTTAACTAACTTTGGTGGTGCAGCTTGAGCTCAGAGTCACAGAAGATTGTGAGTCGACATTCAGACAAGACTTAGAGCAGCATTTCTCAAGGAATCTACTAAATCACGACCATCACAATGCCTGGGCAGCGAGGCCCCGTGCCCGTGCCAGTAGGCAACGGCGACCGCGACCTGACCATCGACATTCTCGAACACCTCGAACAAAATGACCCATTCGAAAGCAACGTAGCGTATCCACAGACCGCACAGGCGGTAATGAAGGCCGCCCTCGATCGCTTGGCTAGTAGAGCAATGGTCACATACCGGAGTCGCGACGCAGAAGAAGTCATTCTCACGGGCGAAGGAAAGCAAATAGCGGACGAGGGAAGCCACGAGTACAAAGTATGGCAGATCATAAAGGAGGCCGGAAGGGTAACACCGAAGGACCCGAAGCTCTCTTCGCAATCCGCAAAACTTGGTCAGGGAAATGCGATTAAGCAGGGATGGATCAAGAAGGACGGCGATGCCTTCATATCTGTCAAGGACGAGGTAGAAGATGGCACCCGGGTGACACTGCAGCACGTACAGGAGAACAAGAAGATGCCAGAGGGAGATTCAAAGCTATTGAAGGACTTCATGAAGCGGAAGCTTGTATCAACGACTAAGATCATCTCATACGAGGTTTCCAAGGGACCGAAATGGGCGAAAGAGATTCCCGTTGAAGTCACGGATCTGACTGCTGAAATGGTCGAGAATGGCACCTGGCAAACAGCCAACTTCAAGCCTTACAACTTCAAGGCGAAAGGCGCAATACAGAATGCAGGTGCTTTACATCCACTCAACAAGGTCCGAGAAGAGTTTAGAAAGATCTTCTTCGGATGGGGCTTTACGGAAATGCCCACTGGGCGTTTCGTCGACACTGGCTTCTGGAATTTCGATGCGCTGTTCGTGCCACAGCAGCATCCAGCTCGCGATGTGCAGGACACCTTCTACGTCTCAGACCCACCTGAGTCAGGTCTTCCCGGTCCAGATCCTCTAGCCGACCAGGCACTGGACGAGATGGAGAAGTCATCATCTGGGAAGGACGTCGGCACCAAGAAGCTCAACTACAAGCAATACTACGAGGACGTGAAGGCAGTGCACCAGGACGGCAAATTCGGCTCAACTGGATACCGATACCCATATAACGAAGCCGAGACGCGACGGCTGGTACTGCGGACCCATACCACTGCTGTCTCTACCTACTGCTTACATCGTCTTGCGGCCAATCCAGGACCTGCGCGCTACTTCTCAATAGATCGAGTATTCCGAAATGAGACCGTAGATGCCACCCATCTGGCAGAGTTCCATCAGGTCGAGGGTGTCATTGCAGACTACGGACTCACGCTCGGTGGCCTGCAAGCCTTCCTGGGCGACTTCTTCGCAAAACTCGGCATCACGAACCTCCGCTTCAAGCCTGCCTACAATCCGTATACTGAGCCAAGTATGGAGGTCTTCGGCTTCCATCACGGGCTGAACAAGTGGGTGGAGATTGGCAACAGCGGCATGTTCAGACCGGAGATGCTGCTGCCAATGGGTCTGCCAGAGGACCTCAGGGTGTATGGTTTCGGGTTGAGTTTGGAGCGACCGACCATGATCAAGTACGCTGTGAGCAACATTCGGGAGCTGCTGGGACACAAGGTGGATATTGGTTTCATCGAGAGCAATGCTGCTGTACGACTAGAAAAAGATTAGACACTGTTCGCAAGCTGCTAGAGAAATCGCTGCAGTAGATGCGCCTTGGAATGTGTAGATGAATGAATGCGCTGAGACACCTAGAGGCAGTGAGAATGTTCTTTGTGGTTTTCATTTCTCAAGCTAGCATGTGATCTGGCTGGCTACATGACTCGCGCGCCAAGCCTGCCCACGAGAAAATCAGCAGCGCACGGACGTCCGGAAATCGTGACTTCCTCAGACCTTGAACCGCACCTCTTTCGAAGCGCATTGCACGCACGACTTGCACCCGAATTCAACACCACTTCAATCTCCTATCTAATACCGTCACCATGGAGAACGAACGCGGAGAGCTCGTCGACCTGTAAGCGGCCGCCGACAAGCCACCCTCCGCTCCAGGGCCGGTCCATACTAACACAGACAATAGCTACGTCCCACGCAAGTGCTCTGCCACCAACCGCATCATCAAGGCCAAGGACCACGCTTCCGTACAAATTTCCGTCGGCAAAGTAGACGAGAACGGCCGCTACACCGGCGAGAACCAGGTGTACGCACTCTGCGGTTTCGTGCGCGCCATGGGCGAGAGCGATGACTCCATCAACCGCTTGACTCAGCGCGATGGTTTCCTGAAGGGCGTGTGGAGCGGAAGCAGATAAAAAGGTGCATACACTGGGGAATGAATGGTGAGAGAAAGAAGGGTCAGACTTCTGAAGATGAGGATTAGCTGACGATGGCTATCGCAGGTCTTGCTTCGCTCGATTGGCGTACGGAAGGCATGAATGAACGGATGTCATGGAGCGTCTTCTCAATTACGAGTAGCTGAGGTGTCCGCTGCTTGAGCGCGGCTTCTGCTGAATGCGAAACTTTCGAAAGCCAACACCAACTCCGCACGGCATTCCATCCTCCCTTTTTGCACCTTGCCACACACGTACACACATACGGATCCTGATCGCGACAGCCGCAACCACCTCTGCCTGCTCTTCTGCCAATCTCAATCAAACATCAATGGCTCATAAATGGCCTCCTCTTTCCCAGCTCGCTTCGGTGAGCAGGACCCATGAAAGCAGGAGGAAAGGCGCGAGGGCTTCGGCGAAGAGTGCTTGGGCTCTTCGGAAACCATGGCTTGGTAGCTGGGGTCCTCGCTAGCCAAGATCAATAACTCTTAGTTTTCCCGCCTTGAAAAAGCTGTGATCGTTGAGACCGTTGATTGTGGTACAGATACGGGTGGGACATCCTTCAGTAAGGCCCTGAGTATTTCATTCTTTCTTCCTTGGACATTTTCATCTTTGGTTTTATTATCTCCATCGCCGCCTCATCGACGCCGCCACATGAGGTAATTTCTCACCAACTGATTCAGGGCACACAAGGCCGGATCCGTATTGGACTTTCAACAGCCTACGCAGCCCCTATAATGCATCCATTGCGGAGCACATCTCAAGAGCTAATCGAAGCGTACAGTTACTTCCAACATATTGGCAATATTTGCTTGGCCAGTTGCTTGCGACCAGACCATAGGCTACACTCCAGCACCGAGGCTTGTTCGCATTCCATGCCAAATGGGTATCCCTCCGGTCCCTGCTTCGAAAACAGCGTCATTTCATTCGAGTCAACGATTGATGTTTTGCTCCACATACTGCAGTTGAAGGACGGTCACAACAATTACTGGCTATGCAGTCGTCTTCTTGTGTCTCGACTCGCGATTCCTATGCCAACAGAGACGCCTGAGCCGACGAGCGCCGCACCTTCACAGACGGCCAAGCCAGCACCAGGTCATACCGCACCGAACGTTGCTGCGCCCACTTCTGCGGCAGCAGATTCAGCGCCGGAATCACAGAATTCAGGACCAGGTGTTGAAAGCAGTCAGGCCGCTTCAGGATCTCAAACCAAGCTCTTCTAGCACACCACGCGATCCGCCTTAGAGCCAAGTCAGCCCTCGAGCCAGCCCAGCTGATCCGCAACCTGCGGATCCCAACTGGGATAATGGTGGTGAGTGTATGTCGTTTCGCACAATGCTATGAGTACGATTAGTACTTCGAGCATGAACAGCAGGTCAAGTACACCGAGCACGACGGCGAGAACGTCTGCGGCGACTACGAAGTCCTCGGCTGCGAGCAATGTGGTCTGCAAGGCCGTGATGGCTCTCACTCCCCTCGCCATGCTATTCTGCAATATATGATAGAACGAAATGTAGACGATAATGTCAATGAATGGAATACAAGACACCTCATCCATGCAGCATTCTGAGTGAAGTTTCGTTCCGTTTACCGTTGATATTCACATATTTCCATCTTCTCCATTCATCCATACACCCCACCCCACTCACAGAATTCCAGCACCCGCTCTTCCGACCAGCCTCAGAGGCCGACATAGAATCATCCTGTGGTACATTTCCACCTTATCAATCGCGACTGCCCACACGTCACCCGCCATGACAGGCTCCTTGAATCCCACCAAATCCGGCCTCGTCAAAGTAACACTACAATTCATCTCCAGATTGATACCTGCCACACGAACTTGACCTATAGCACCCGGAGAATAGATGATGACGTGCATGGGATTCTCTTCGGTTCCAAAAGGCAGCACTCCGTCTTCGTGGTAATGATGTTTCCGGAAGAAGAACATTGCCGTCCAGAATTGTTCGGAGTACTGTTTGGCGCGCTGGATGATGAGCTCGCGCGGCTGCAGGCCGAGAATGATGGTATCGAGCACTGGGGCGGAAAAGGGAAGAAAGGATCGATTGACCTTTTCGTGTGCAGAGGCGATGAGACTCTTGCCTGTCTCCGCTTCTTCTCGGAGCGCCGCTTCGATTTGCCAGTGCAGAATCATGTCACCGTATCGACGGAGGGGCGAGGTGGCTTTGCTGTAGCACTTGAGACCCATCGGTCTGTGCCCAATGGGATCGGTACGCAAGGCAGTGCGCCCCAGAAGCTGTAGGTATTGCACACCGAGATGCATCGGATAACTTCCGTCCTCCCGCTTTGAGGGAGCCATGGACTCCGCCCAGAACGCTTCGGGCGTGCGGTGCTCGCCGGGATCTTGAATAGTTCCTCTGTAGAGAATCGGTATGCGCCGCTCAGCACACCAGGTTGCGGCGGTCTCAGAGGCAAGTATCATGGCTTCACGAACCATGAGGCTCCCGGGAGAAGTTGTGCTATTATCAAACCAGTTCTGCAGGCCTGAGGTTGTGATTGAAATGATCGGGTCACCTTCGACTTTACGAGATCCCTTGCGGTAGGGATTATCCCAAGCAAGTCCAGGGAAATTCCAGCTCTGCCAAACGCCAACTTTGGCCGCTCCAGAGTTCAAATGGAAACCTCCCGCCGCCTGTCTCATTGTAGCTCTTTTGTTTCCCAGGTCCAACAGCCTCTTTAGATCTTCGACGTTTTGCTTTTCCATACTTTGAAGTGAAGATGTCCTGTTACCGAGAGGAGGCGGAGTCCCTCCTACCGTGTACACCCGCTGTGGAGCGCGGTTGGATGTGTCTGCACCGACCAGCTGCTCCACCTCGCTGGGAACCAGCCGAATGGTGTTTCTGATGATACCGGGTGTGATCTTGTGCTCTATAAGCTCACCTTCCGCAGTCAATTTGGCAGAAATTGTTAAACACGGTCTATTATTGGCGAGGGAGAAGTGTTCGTGCGAGGCCCATCTTGGCAGCATCATATATGTTCGCTCCGGCATGTAGATCGTCTCTCCCATGTGTCGAGCCATTTTGGCAAGTGGATGATCGCGCGAGAAGAACGCGGTTGGATTCGCGACGTGAACGTGTACCCAGTGTTGCTCTCTGCCATCGGAATCAACACCGGCAGGCTCAATTGAGATGCCGTCATCTATCTCCTGCGCTCCAGCATCGTCTATGCAGTAGACGGGCATGTCTTTCCAATCATGCCGGAGGCCAGCCATGGTATCCGAGAAGTCATGATTGTCTCGCATTTTCAGCAGATTGAACATCAATTTCTGCAGTGGTTTGCTATGCTGTGAGCTAGGCAAGAGTAGGTGCTGGTCAAAGCGGATTCGGTTCTCATATGGCATGATCGTACCGATTTCTTGAAGAAAAATGAACCCAATTGTGGGCCCTACAGCGTCCATGTCATCGTATAGGCCTGTGCCTTGGAGCAGCAAAGGCGGCAGACTCTCCAAGCGCGGAAGGCCAACGAACATGGAGCTGCAACACCAGCCCTCAATGAATCGCAGAATTTCACTTTCATCTTCAGTGAACTGAGTGTCAAGCGTGTACCTAACACTGTCATTGTGGGGCGTAATGGGCAAGCGGACCTTGCTCGGGCTGACATTGCCGAGATTCGTCAGCTGCCGGTCCTTGCGATTCTCTGTGACAATGCTCCGGGCTTTTCGAATGAACTCGTGTACACGATTTGCTCCCTCCGTTGGTCGATGGCTTCTCAACTGCTTCGCGGTCATTCCAGCAGTTTTAGCAAGGTCATCTTGCCATTGCCGCAACCAGTTGCGCACGTGCTCAACCATCCTAACTTGATCTTTGCTCCGGATCTGCATGTAGCCCGTCAAACGATGTGAACGTCGATCAATGTTGAATGCAAAACCACCATTGCTCAGCGCTTTGCGGACGGTATAAAGAGCGGTAAGCGGAACCTTGTCGCTTGGAATCTTCAGCAGTGTCGACGCCGCAAACACCAGCGAACCATAGCGAAGGTCAGTTTCATGCGCAAGAATATTGTGGGCATCGTCTAGAGTCGAAGCATGTCGACGATAGATGTCCTGACTCTCGTTATAAAATTGAACCAGTCGGCTGACTAGAGGCGCAGCGACGTCTCGAGGAACGGACATGTCCTCTACTAGAGCTCGGTCCTGTACGGCTTGCAAATCTGGTTCGTCAGGACTAGGCAGGTATTTCCTTAGAGGCTCGACAAGCTTGGGACTGACCCAACCAGGGATACAGTACTGTACGAAATTCTGCCCATGGTGGACCCAGCGTCCATGTATGGTGTAGGATTGGTGCTCTCCGTTTTGCATTTTCTGCACGTAAACGGCCAAAACGCTTTCGCGTTCGCTTTTGGGATTCTCCAGCTCCACGAGATCGCCCATCTTCAAGAAGCGGGCATCATCAACCACCGATCCGTCGAACCCTTCTTTTCCGGAGTCTGTGAAACGTTCCCATGCCGCCTTTTCTTCCTCCTCTCTTTCGTGTTTGCGAAGCATATTTTCGTCGGGTAAGCGAGTGAGGTTATTGACAGGCGCGTCCCAATCGACTTCATCGCTGTCTTGAGAGAATTCAACGATAGGATCCTCACGTCCGTGCAATTCTTGCCACTGACGGAGGTGAGCACGAATTCCGCCAGATGCTCCATCAGGCGTGTGGGAGACGGGGGGCGGTATGTCCGGGTCGGGCTCGGCAACTGCCACTGCATGCTGTGCATAACCTGAACGAGCGTGGAACATTCGAGCTTGAGTACTACTGAATCCATGATTGTGGGGCGTACCTGTCCGGGAGGTGCCGGAAGCTGCCCTCCTCTGCCACAAATATCCCTCAGAATACGGAGAAGGAGACCGCGACTTTGAAGGGCTTCTCGCCAACGACGTACTCAGCTGGTGATGGCCTTGAGCCGACGAGCCCGACTCGCGTGAGACCAGTCTCTGCTTTGTCGCAGCATCGAGATCATCCATGGTCGCATTTCCTGGCTGCACTCCTGTCGGCCATTTCTGTTCGGGTTCTATGAGAGGCTCAGGTTTACCCGAAGACCAGCTTCCTGGCCCTTCTACGCTTCTCGCCTCCTGCTCACCCGTATCGGCACTTCCTGATCGAGACTCCGCGGCGCTCCGTTGGTCTACTACGACTTTCCGGAAAGATAGCGGATGGTCTGTAGAGGGGTCCAACTCATACGTCGCCCTATATTCTGGTATAGTTCCCAAGGATTCGAACTTCCTGACTGTGAGGGATTGGTATTTTCTGGGCGTGAGCCAGTCGTAGTATTCGACTGTGGGATGCCTCGTGCTCAACGTGTGCTCTTCGGGGATTCCAGACTTACTCGTGGCCGGAGAGTCCGCAGGAGAACTCAGAGAATCCGGGCAACGTTGATTGGTGCCTGAAGGCTTCACACTGTGCCTTTGCCGAAGGTTGCCTTGATCGATTTCATTTAGCCAATCATCACTCGAGAATGGCCTGTATGAAAACAACTGTTCCGCCGTTGTCGGTCCCTCAGGTCGGTTGTCCCGCACCCTCATTGTGTCTTCGGCCTCGAAATCCTTGGCCTCGGCAGCCTTCTGGAGATGCCCGTCGATGGCGTTGTTCAAGATACCCGTCCATGCGTCGTCAGGGAAAGCGGTATCTTCAAACTCGCTGTGTACGGTTGGCGGATAGGTTCCGGTTCCGGTTCCCCTTGGGAACAATTGAGAAAATTGAGGACATTCTGTAATGTGCCCTTTCTTTCCGTCGCGAGGCTCCGATGACCTGAATACTACTCTCATATCGTTGCGTCTTCTACCCTTGCTACTGTCCGGCGCTGACGAGCCTGCACGCTGCTCTGCCGTCTCGCCCGTGGTCTGCCCTCTTGCCGGCTCGCCGCCATCGTGTCTCTGCCGTTTGTGGGATCGGAGTCTGCAGCTGAGACAAACATACGCTTGATTCGTGGTCTGGCGCGTAATGGCATTTCGCGATGCCAGCATCGTTGTGTAGCGGGGATCGTGGTGTGGTGAGGCGACAGTCAACAGATTGTTGAAGCAGGATCGAGTCCCACATCCGATGTGTTTCGAGAAGCACGGGCCACACACCCCCGAGATCTCCGCAGCTGCGGTATTCACTCACTCTCTTTCACATGTCACAGCTCACTCTACTCAACGCTGATGAGTTGGTGATGCCTTCTCCGACAGAACCGCACGCCGATACTCTCGCGCCATCGCCTCCCCCTATCCGCGGTCCCTCGTCCTTCTCCGAGCTCCGCACATTCGACGACCGTCTCTCGCTCCCACTGTATTTCCGCATCCCACTGGCTTGTACTATCGGCTCAGTCTCCGGGCTCCTCCTCGGTCTCGCAAAAGGCTCCAACGATGCAGGCTATCGCTTTCAAGCTGAGAATGCCCATCGTCTGCCCACCACCTCCACTGGTTGGTATTTCTACCACAAATCGAAGAACTATAACATGATGCTCGGGGGAGTGAAGGAGGGCACCAAACAGGCCGCGAGATATACCCTATGGGTAGGCATGTTCTTCATCCTAGAAGAAGGTGTGGACAGGGGTCGAGCGGCGGGCTGGAGGCTCTGGGGTAGAGTCAAGGGTGGAGAATACAAGAGAGGAAGCAGTCTGGAGCAGGCGCTAGCAGAGGATCAAGAGGAGGCCATCGATGAGAAGCAAGTCTTGATGAACAGAGACTGCATATCTTCCATGCTGGCTGGTCTGGGAACTGCCGGGATCTTCAGTGCTTGGAACCGGTTTCCTCTGCCAACTGCTGCGAGAACTGCGAAGATGGGCGCACGGGCTGGTCTTGTCTTTGGATTGCTGCAGGACGCCGTGAGTCTGGTGAAGGGAAGACGTGTGGGCTATGTGGAGTTCGTAAAGAGGCATACGCTCGGCTCGAAGGGTGAAGATGACTTGCATCTGGCTGGACAGGAAACATCACACGCACCAAAAACCTGAATTCCGGCAAGATGGTTCATGCTATCTCGGTTGCAAGAACCAGCCTTCTGGTGTCGGAAAGTCCGCTTCATAGGTGGCAAAGCTTCTATTGAGTGCAGCAAGAGGCTGAACATCCAACGTCTACTGGGAACTTCTCAAGGAATGGCACTAATCCGATCATGGCTCTTCTTGCCCTTTTTCACGGGATCAGAGTGAGCCTGGGCTCTCCAGCCAAGCCGTCTAGCCTGCTCCCTCGAAACATCAAACAAAAATTCTGAGGTAAGGATCCCGCGATCCTCCAAGACATCTCGTCATCCTTAGTACCGAGCATCATACTGCCAGGCCCATTCATCCACAATCAGCTTCCGGGTAGCACCATACACCTTCGTTTGGGAATAGCTTGGCGGATCGAAACAAAAGGCCAGTCTCCCAAGAGACGCGACATGCTCGATCAATCACAGCATGACAGAAACCCTCTGTTTCGAGCTGCAAACCCAAGAGATTGGTGGCTGCGGAAGGGCGATACTGGCATTCTCGGCTACATCGGCCTCCTCATGGACGGTCTCCTCGTCGGTGACATCCGACATTGCCGTTGCAGCTTTCTTCTTGCCCTTCTTTGGCGCTTTGGCACGAGGCGTCTGTGCTCGGGTCCTGGCGGGCGCTGAATTCTTCTCAGATGCCTTTCTTTTCCTCTTGGGCGGCTCGAGATCCACACAATCGGTCGTGCTCTGAGATGTCCGGTGCCAAAAAGCCGGTGCCAAAAAGTCGGATGAGCTCTTCTGATGGATGTTGTTCGATTGGCAGGACGAGACCATGTCCATTGTAAGGATTCCGTCTCTTCGCAGAATTCAAATTGTGCTTGGAAATATCGTCGAACAAGAGTTATACTTTCACACTGCTTTCTGCTCGTCTACAAAATCACCAGGGGGTGAACACCTGGCCATGCGGACGGGTGACTATTCGACCACGAGATCGAACGGGGCTGCATGAGCAGCTCTTGCCTGCCATTGTTGCGCTCAACGACACTTGACACCTACCAAGGACGAATGGCGTCGATTAGAGGGCCAAATTGAGAGCAGCGGACTGGTACATCAATGGCTACTACGCTTGAAAAGCCCATAACACCAGGACATCCCTCTTCAACGTTGAGATCCTCGCACCAATCGACGAGCGTCAACTTTCAAAAGGACTCTATCTATCGAACAGAAAGAGCCGTCAAGGTTCCATTGCTGGGCAGGCATCGGCATGACCGGCCAGAAAGATCACGGTAAACGCGATAAGCTTCAACTTGGATCTTGGGAAGAGGAAGTCAGAATGAAATGGAAAATGAGGCTGTCGTCGGGTAGAGCGAGGGTTTCTTATCATGTAAAATACTAATCACATCCCCAATATCGGTCCTCTCTCCTGATATGTGGCTAGGCTTGACATTTCATGGCGGACAGCTTGATTCTCGCTAGAAAGCGCTCGTCTGGCCTTTTGGCATAGGAGGCCGTTCGTGTTGCAGGCCAATAGTAGAGCACTGCAAGCGTCGCGACATCAATGCGTTCATGCAAAGGGAAGAGCCCACGGGACACATCACACGAATAGCGTTTGATCACATCTCCATCTCAGCCTACGTCGAATCTCAGCCCACCAAGCCCGTCAAGTTGTGCCACAGTGTTGTTGTGTGGGGCGCACATATTCTCCTTACATTTGGTCTGCTGTGTGGCAAATTGTGCCGCTGGTTGTCGATGTTGAAGTACTTGCTATTTAGCAAATTCATACAATCTGTTGTACAACGATACTCCACGTTGGTACGAATGCGTCGTTGTCATTCTGACGGCAGACTTTATTGCCGACCGGGGTATAGACTCGAAAGAGTCGAGATGGCGATTGAATTTGAAGTGGAGCCAGTGAAATCTAGATCAAGCTCACATGTATTAGTGCTAGATCAGAAGGTCGATCGAGTCATCCGCCTGCAGGTCGAGTGTAGTGACAGCTGTGCTTCCTCTTGGCAAGGCTTGTAGGAATGAGGATCAGGGCCAGATTCCATGCATGTGCCTTGGTCTCGAGAATGCAGCGGCTGGGATGATCAATCCACGTTCGTGTTGGAAGGCGTCGCTTCTGGAGAGACAGCAAAGACTTCGTCCTGCAGCCACGGTAGGATCTCTTCCCAAGGCGCCTGTCGATGCCAGAAATTGATCAACTTCGTGCACTGCTCGATGGCGTCAAGACAGCCGTCCATGTCGTGAAACTGGCTCAGATCCGAGCAGTTGGCGTCGTCCATGAGTCGATCTCCAAAGTCATACTTCTTGTGCGCTTCTTCGTCCTGTCCGCGGAAAGAGTGGAAATTGAGAATCTGGCCGAAGCGCTTCGGATCCTCGCTCTCAGTCATCACTCTATGACAGTGGCCGCGGGCGTAGGAGTCTTGAATGAGGTGCAAGCAAGTACCCAGTGCGCGGCGATTGTGCTTGACGTTGGGATACGAGTGATCGCACGTCAGGAGTGTGTGCACCGTCATCCAGTCGGCAGGCCTCGTGCCAGCGTCGAACAGGCGTCGCAAGGGGAAGCGGTCGGACTCGTCCTCTGCTGGCAGCTCGACATCCTTAATTTTGCTGGCGAAGGAGATGTGGCCGATGGAGATGTTGTACATGAGTTGGAGCCAGGTCATGATCTTCTTCTTGGTCTCAACTGGTGGCTCGCCGGGGTCGTCTGCCATGGCGTGTAAGAACTGCATGTCACCAAAGTGGCTGCGGGCGATGATGTTCTTGTGACCCATCCAGCCCTCCTTGGTGCAGTCGACACGCCAAAACTTGCCGTCTGCAAACTGTACTGCCCAGTCGCGTCCGATGCCACGGTGATAATTGTCAGGCGTGGCGAGCCACCAAGCGTCGTTGAACAGAAGGCAGGCCGGGTCGTCGTTCCACACTATACCACGAAGAAATTCGAGCGTATCGTAGTGGTACTCCTGGATGGCCTTGTTGTACGTGGTGTCCGGCTCGAGCTTGAAGTCCGACTTGATCAGGGCGGCAAGTGTGAGGCACTCGTGGACTGGAGGGTGCTTGAATGGGCCGATGCCACCTCCGATGAACATGGTGCGATATTCCGCCAGACAGCCGAATGCAGATGGATCTCGTGCGATAGTTGGACAAGATAGGCGTCTGCTCAGCGGCGCGAGAGGCGTGGCAACGTCTTCCGGCTTGAATCCGGAGACGGGATCGTCGGCAGTCTTGAAAGTGAGAATTTAGCGCAGCATCACAAGCCGTGGAGAGGGTGTGATTGTTGATTGGTATGGTGAGGAGAGCGGTAAGACAGGCCAAATCGATGGCGAAGACGAGAATTCTCGACCGGCCTCGTCATTGCTAATAACAGCAGCGTGGAGCTTAGGTAAACCGACATCATGGATACCTCGTGCAAGGACCAACCGTCTGATTCGCTCCCCAAAAAGCTGATGACTATGAATGGCCATCGACTTCACGCGCCGTTGAGACGAGCTGCAAGTCGCGAATGAAAGCAGCCGGAAAGGGCACGAAAGAAAAGGGTACGGCAAGGTACCGGAACAGTGCGACATCAAATTGACAATGAAATATTCATGGTGGCAGCACGTGAAAAGGCTTGGCTGTCTCGCGAGATGCCTCGGGACGACGCGACCGCAGATCGTTACCGCTCTCGATCCTCCACACACGACCACCGCCAACCTTACCACCGCCCGCGCCCTTCCAGGCAACTTCATTCCAACCAGGATTTTAGATTTCTCCCCAGAGATACCCGCCGTCCCTCCTCATCTCCGCGTCGGTGGCTTCACGAGCTACCAGGTGCCGAGGAACATGGCACACCCGCTGACATTGTTGGGTGGCCATTCCTCGAGGCAGCAGGATAGGACTCTCGACCACTACTGATATATATACGACAGGCGCTATACGAAGCTTCGCATCGGCACTCTCCCATCCGCAGTGAAGACGACCAGCTTCCCAATAGTCCTAATCATCACTTCTGCCCAAGTCCACCTCTCACCAAACCCAGCAATCGTAACAGCCCCCATCGACCCACCACCCACCACATTCACCACCACCAGCACACAGAAAACAGAAAGAGGAGAAAGAAAGAAAAATGTTCCGCCTCTCCAAACTCTCCCACCTAGCAGCCTCCGCCAAAAACGCCCTCACCTCCCGCTCCTCCGCAACAACCCACCAAAACCTCACAACAATAAACACCTCCGTGCAAACCCTCACTCAGACCACCCAAACCTACAAAGGCGGCCTGCTCGCCGCCGCTTCCATCTCCTCCTCGGAAGCAACCCTAGCCCAGGACATCAAGAACGCCATCTCCGACGCCAAAGCTTCCGAGATGGTCTCCGAGGCGGAAGCGAATGAGATTGTGAAGTATATTGTCGAGGTGTTGGAGGTGAGTATCCGGGCGTGTATGCAGGCTCTGGGGGAGAAGAAGGAGGAATTGAAGAGGGCGGGGTTGGAGGGGACGGTTAAGGGGGATATGGTGGATCTGAGGGCTTTGACCAATGACCTGGGGAAAGCTTTGTTGGAGAAAGCACCGGCTGGGACGAGGCCGGAGGGGGAGAAAGCCATCAAGACGATTGATGAGGACTTCGAGGAGACGGTCAAGTCCTTCGCTGCTTCTGCTGCAGCGGCCTGAGATGTATAACGATTTGATCGTCCAACGTCAACATGAGGAACAACAGACAATTCGAGAAAACGTAGGTGTAACGTCGGTGTAAATACTTCGCCTCATCAATCAATCAATCAATCCTCAGGTCTAATCAACTTATTCAACCTCCGAATCTCACTCCAACGAGTCCACTTCCCCATCTCAAGCAAATTCACCCTCCTCATCTTCCCCGACGCATGTCCAATCACCACCGGCTTCCAATCCGGCTCTCCTCCGCTGCTGGCATCAGGACTCCCCTGTCCAATCTTCCACGTGCCCGTCGTGTACTGCGGAACGACCTGCACCTCGTGAAAGCGCGTGATGATGCAAAAGAAGAGCACCGTGACGCCCAGCAAGACAGCCGCGGTGATGGAGATGGCCGTCTGCGAGCCATAGGCGTCCGTGACCCGGCCGGAAACCACCGTCGCAGCAGCCGCGAGCAAGAAGCCGAGAGATTGCGAGGCGAAAAACCCGGCGCAGACGCGCGGGAAAGAGGAATAGTTGGTCCGACGCCGTTTCGCGTTGTCCGACATCGATTGTAGACGGTGCTTGGTGTTGACGCCCGGCTGGAGGTCGCACGTGTCGAACGTTTCCATGATCAGGCCGACGCATTCCGCCGTGCCCAGGTCCGTCAGGAAACCGGCGAGGCCCGCGAAGATGACGCAGGCACTCCAGTGTAGAGGCGGTCCAGGGGCACTCAGGCAGTATCCCAATCCGGCGAGTGGTAACAGGAGTGAGAAGATGAGGCGCCGGGTAAAGTGAGACGACCAAGTGAAGCGCGGCGATCGCATCGTCATGCTGTCAGTTCGTGGCGGTGTCACGCGAGCACGACTGAGCCAAGACGCTTTGGTGAGTGGCATCGCGAACAGCGCCCCGATTGGCACCGAGAGCACGGCGAGTCCGATCGAATAAGAAGGCCAACGGTAGTTGCGAGAGAGCAGAGCGCCCAGGAGCTGCGTCCGTTAGCGATGACCAGCAATCTGCGCTCAGACAAGACTCACCAGAATCACAAGCGTCAGCTGAGCATTGATCCAAGCCAGATATGTCATCAGCACGAAGAACCCAGGCTGCAACACCATTCTCTTTGTGAGAACGAGGCCAGCCCAGACTTCTTCCCACCACCATTTGGGCCCGCAATCCGAGATGTGAAGCTTGACTTCACCCCTGGCAACTCTGCTTTTGATCTTCTCTGGGTCATTATCATCGTAGAAGTGATGGACCGAGCGCCGATACGCAGACTTGCGAGTCTCGGGTGCAAGCACATTGAGCAGGAGGAAGAAAGCCAGGAGGATGATGACCAGCCAGAAGCCCCAACTGGGATCCAGTTTCGAGATGATGCAAGCTCCGACGCAGAAGCCGATTGACAGGGAGCTGCTGAAGCAGAAACACCAGATGCCGAGCCATATGCCAATGCCACCGCCTTGCCTGCGAACATCATCGTAGGTCACGGCTTCTTGATGAGGTCTCTCCGACATGAGCGACGCGCCGAACAGGTCCATCAGAGTGGGCAGCAAGTTGATATTGGCAAACCCCAAAGCCAATCCAGTCAATGCTCGTGGCAGGAGAAGAGCGATGCGGAAAAGCGTGTCTGGCGACCGATAGCTCGCGACTGCCAGCGCTTGAGGTATCTGAAGTGGAAGCAGGAGACCAAAAGCGACTAGAGTATAAGGTCTGCGGCCATGCAGGAGAGGCAGGGGCCAGAAGATCAACGTGGTGATTGCCATTCCAGCAAAGAGGCTACCGAAGTCAGTAAATGGCTGCCTTGTAATGAAAAGTTGGTGCCACTTACACAAGATTGCCAAAGATCACCCAGTGCGATTGGTCTGCGAGCTGATACTGGATGCGAGGTACCTCTCCAGCCTACAAAGAATCAGCGAGGTGCAACACTTCCCGAACGTAGTCGGCATACATATATCCCTGCAATGAAGCCGGTGAAGATGGTGTTCAGGCAAGCAATTGTTGCTGTTAACCTCTTGCGACGCATGCTCTACTCTCGCGCAATCGGCTGTCGTTTGTGATATCGACCCAAGCTGAACCCTTCGCCTTCCTTCAGACTGACATGGCCGCGTCGTGGATGTTTCAAACTCCAGTTGTGAGACATCAGAAGTGGTGGATGAGCACTACGCACCATGTTAGACAAGACTCTCAAGGGAGTCAACCTGTCAGTTTACCTTGAATTGATAGTAGTCGCAGTAGCACTCCTCTTACGTACGGACTCATCGTCAATGCGATAATATGCAGACTGCAGAAAGGCTGGGGCATGCCCTTGATGATGAGAGCCATGTCCCAGCTGTTTATGACCTTCTGTCTTCGGCGAAGGGCTTGGATCTTTCGGTTCAGTATTCAACTTTTCACGGAGCAGTGGTGGAATCGTTCCGCTTGGGCCGTGTATGCTTTCCACGGTCGCTTGTCGCACGGCTGGAGGTCGTAGCAAATTGTCGGCTTGGGTCGTGCCCGCCTGGTTCGATCCACCATCTCCGCCCCCCGGTAACGCTCGAGCTTGGTGTTCATGCCTCATATGGTGGGCACGATGCACTCGCTCTGTCTTGCCGGGCGCAACATCACTGTGTCTGCGGCCAGGTAAAGGCACCATTGGAAGCTGTTTTTCTTGGGCGACGATGCTGCGTCGAGCACCAGGCTGGGTCGCCACGGACTCTCCATGGTCGCCGTAAAAGTCTGCAGCTGCTCCATATCGAGCTCTCCGGTCCAGCGTGACTGACAATTTCTTCTTCGTGGCGGGATCGAGGTAGGCAAAGTCTTTGATGACACATTGTGGAGACCGAGACACATACAAATGCGGCGGCGTCTGTGCAATCGAGTAATCGCCGGAAGAGAAAGCCTGAGCAGTACGGTCGCCTCGAGAGCTGGAAATTTTCGGTAGCGCTTCTGTGAATTTCGAGCCTGTTGCTGTCGTGCGAATCTTCGGCTTGGAGGTTTTGGTGAAGACTGAGTGCTGGGCATTCGCGGACGTGCGCCGACTCCGAGATAACTGGGGGTCAGACAAGACTTCTTCATTGCCCTCTGATGTTCGTGGCGAGCTCGGCGGCGAAAGCGGAGGAGGTCGATACACGGGCTCTTCACCTCGACCGACCTGATCTTTTGCACTATTGGCGCCTTGCAGAAGCCGCCCTGGGCCCTTTTTGCCACCTTCCGGCCGCGAGTCACTAGCGACGGTCACCGTCTGATTCATGAGGCGTTCATGGGCAGTGGCAGCTCGGGCGAGCCGATCATGTCTCTTGCGGAACTCGTAAGTGCCGAACGACTCCGTCACAGCTCGCTTCAGCTTGTCAAGTTGCTTGTCTGTGTTGCTCTGAGATGATGAAGTTGAGTGAGCCATTAGATGCAACGGTAGCTCGGGGAGAGGCTGTTGTCCTGAGCTTCGTGACGCTTCCAGATGGGCTCCTGTGCGAGGGCATTTTGGTGCTTGGATTTGATGTTCCCGGTATAGAGAGCGGGCGGTTGGCATGATCGCCTGCTCCAGCTCACTATCGCACGACTTGCAACGAAGAGGCTTTGGTAAGTACTTCTCTGGTATCTCTTGCACACGGTAAGGACTTGGGTTGGGCTTCGGTCTCGTAGTGCCGCGCCGAGCTTGAGCACCAGAGCCCAACCTAGGATCAGCCTGAGATGGAGACTGCTCTTCCTCGCCTTGGTTCCAGTCGTTCACCGCACGAGTGGAATAATGTCCTGGCGGCGGTGGCTCTGGTGGTCTCCTGACAAGCCGCTCATACGACGCTGGGTCCTTCTTTGGCAACGTTATAGGCAAGGGCTCGCCATCGCTTGGTGCAGGGCTGTAATTAGAGGACGCATAGAACAGGCCAGGGGCTGCCGCTTCCTCTGTACGAGCTGGTCGACTCACAGACCGAGGCCGAAGCGAGGATACAGCAGAGTGAGCTCGAGGACTCGGTGTTTGTGTTCGTGGGCCTGGGGCATTGGTTCCAACTCTGAGCGGTAGCATGGAGCTTCCAGGTTGTATCGCATCAGAAGGGTCACTGCCGTCGACGTCCGTCACTCTCTCGATATGTTCTACCCGTCCTGAGTCTGGCTCTTCTTTTCCCTGCTGCCTTTCCAGCCACGGCAACTTCTTCCGAGGTGGCTTGGGCGGTGTCTGCTCGCTGCTCTCTCCGGTTCTCTTGTAGGGACGCGGAGAATCATCGGCACCCTCTACGCTCGAGACCCCGCGGAGCGATGGAGGTCGCAGGCGTGCTATTGCGGCAGATATTGGAGGAGCCATGAATGAAGGGTATCCTCCAAGAGCGCGACGGATCAGGAGAAGTTTTCGTAGAAGTTTTCGTAAGATCTGATATGGCGAGAAATGGAGAGACGGACAGGAGACGGGAGATAAAGAGCGGAAAGAGTAGGGCAGGTCCCGGGATGAAGTAGAGTGAACGATGGCGTCCGCTCAAGGATTGGCGACAGGTCTGGAAGGGGGATAGGCGGAAATGAGATGTTGGCGTGAGAGGGTAGATGTGATGATGAGAGGTTGTGCGAGTGCGAGATGCAAGAAGTTGACCTGAAGTTCAGGTTCCATTACCAGTGGCTTCCTTCGCTGGTTGTCGGCGCACTTGCCTTCCATATGATCCGACCTCGATTCCGAGAATCGGCATCCCGTGCGTGGGCAGGACGGACCATGGCGAGCGATGGTTGCCCAGGCGGACCCATTTTAAGCTACCTTCGTGATTGTCGACAATCATTCCTCATATCGGACTTTACCAGCGCTAACATCCGGATAGACGTCAAATCTGCGCTGAGTATATATCGGAATGCCCTTTCTTGACTCGGCGATCGTGTCTCCATCAAGGTCGGCATATACGACGCTCTCGTGTTCATCAGTCTCAGACTGAATAGACGCGTTGGGATTCACGACCATGGAATGACCCCACGCATTATAGTCGGCTTGCATATCTCGAGCTGGACTGCAAAGGCCAACGTAGATCTGATTGTCCATCGCTCTCGCCTGACCTTGCAAAGCCCAATGCATCGCTCCTGTCGTGAGATTGAACGCACCCGGATAAAGCAGCAGGAAACAGTCCTTTCGGGCCGGAATCATGGCCAATTCAGGGAAGCGAATGTCGTAGCATATAGCGACCGCGATCTTGCCGTATTCAGGCAAGTCAATGATGGTAACCTTGTTCCCAGGCGAGAGCACTTCGCTCTCGTGGAAGGATATCTTGCCCGGGATATCGATATCGAACAGATGCACCTTTCGGTGTGTACCAATGAGCTTGCCATTGGGGTCGAAGGTGAGAGATGTATTGTAGTGCTTCTTCGTCTCCTCTCCGTATTCTGGTATGCTCCCTCCTACAAGATACGCCTTTGCTTCTTTGGCAAGCTCGGACAAGGCATGGAAGGAGGGCGATTGCTCTTTCGTCGGCGGGGAAGGCAGTAGCGTCTCGGCGTATTTGGCGAAGTATTTCGTGCCGTACGGGCTGTTGAAGCATTCAGGTAACACTTTGATAGATCAGCCACCGAGATACGATCTGCGAACACGTTCCCTTACCGACCAGATTGGCGCCATTGCCGGCTGCCTCTAGCACTTTCGATCGTGCGCGAGCAAGATTGGCAGCTTTGTCCGGCCCAGTCGCCAGTTGGATCAATGCCAGCTTCAACGGCTTCTTCAGCAGCTTCGCCATATTGGCAAGAATACTGGTGAGAGTCAGTGGTATAGGTAGACTGGCGAAGGTGTTGTTCAGGTATTGTTGGACGTGGTGTGGTGGGGAAGTCTAAGCTCAAGCTCCCGGATGCCAAGAAACCTTGCCCGCTCGACACCTCAGGCATCAGTCACATGCCTACCTTACACTATCCTTTCCCACTCTTATTCATCAAATGTCAGACCATCCCCCACACCGAGACCGACAACTTCTCCTTACGCTACAAGACCTATGATTCGGCCAGGTTCGCCCGACTGACAAGCTAACATTCTAAGCTGAGACAAGCGCATCGACCATCCGTAATGAGATGAGATTCCACTATGGCTCGTCAGATGACACCCATAGCACCCATAGCCTCAGAACATCACCCGATGTAGATGTCTATCAGTCTCGCGATAGAGATCACTGCTGTGCTGTCAGAGCCACAAAGGCAAAGATCGGAGCACACAACATAAGGACACAGCGCACCAAGGAATCAAGGGCGTAGTATGACGACATCGACTCTGGACAAAGACTGGTCAGACCGCTCCGCCACCTGTTGCTGTTGCGATGCTCTTTCGTAGGCCCTCGATCGACTGTTGTAGGCCACACCATCATCTTACAGGGAGATCCAGGCTCGTAAGATCTGGTTGACGTTTCACGACTACGTGGTATAGTTCATCTCTTGTCGAACGATTCGACATCGCACTAATGCTTTGGAAGTTTCGAACCCCTTGGACCATGGCCGCAGAGAATGGCACCCAGCGCAGTAGCTTGAAAGAATTCCTAGCAGTATGTGCTGCTGTTAGCGAAACGGCGGGGCAAAGTCTGACTTCAGCGACAGTCAATAGCAACGATCAAAGGGGACCTCAGCAACATCACTGCACCACCTTTTGTTCTTGCAGACAAATCCACGACGGAATTCCCTAGGTACTGGATCGAGCATCCGGATCTGTTCTGTGCTCCAGCACACGAGAAGGATCCGGCCCGACGAATGCTCGCAGTCCTCAAGTGGTTTCTGTCAAGCCTAAAAGATCAGCAGTATGCAGGTCGGAATCCAAAGGACGGTATCAAGAAGCCCTTGAACGCTGTGCTAGGCGAGGTCTTCATCGGAGATTGCGGCCCGGCAGAAGATGTGACGAAAATGGTCGCTGAGCAAGTTAGCCATCACCCTCCAGTCACGGCCTGTTATCTGTGGAACGACCAGCATGGTGTGCGCGCTGAAGGGTATACTCGCCAAGTACGTTGATGGGCGCTTAGAGCGATTCGGAGTAGTCGTCGGCTCGTGCTTTGATAAGCTAATGCTCGTGCATAGGAGATCACGTTCTCGGGCACCGTGAACATCCAACAGACTGGACACGCAACTCTGCACCTCGACGAGTTCGACGAGGACTATCTCATTCCCCTGCCCAACGTGAAAGTTCAAGGAATCTTGTCTGGGTCGCCCTACCCGGAGCTAGTAGGGTCGCATTCCATCGTCTCTTCCTCTGGGTACATAGCCGACGTGGACTTCAGCGGGAAGAAGCTGCTGGGAATGTCGGGAAAGAAGAACCACCTGGAAGCCAAGATATTCAAGCTTACAAACAAGAAGCGCTCCGGACCCATCTTTACCGCCGAGGGCAGCTGGTCTGATCGCTTCGAGTTCAAAGATAGCGCGGAGAACGTGATAGACTCCTACGATGTGGCTTCCGCGCAATCTGCGGGTTTCCGGGTGGCTCCAATCGAGGAACAGGACCCGTGGGAATCGCGCAAGGCCTGGGGTGGTGTTATCAGATCAATCCAAGCCGGAGACATGCAGGGCGTGGCGGACAACAAGTCTAAGCTGGAGAATGCTCAGCGTGAGCTGCGAAAGCAGGCCGAGACGAGTGAGGAGTCGTGGCGGCCTTTGTTCTTCAGGAAGGAGTCCCGCCATGATGCGGCGCAGAAACTGCTGAGCGAAGTGGGAGAGACGTTGGCAATGGACCAGACCAAAGGCGTCTGGCGATTTGACCGGGAAGCCGCAGCGACTCTCCAGAGACCGTGGAGAGGCAAACTGACGCCATTCCGGTGAGCCGGTTGGCGGGTGTAGGTGATCTCATCTGCGGTTGTGTGATTGAGGCGCCATCTGGCCTCATGGGTGTTTGCATACTTCTGGCCAGCCGCGATGCGATAGGAAGTCGGTGATGACGGTCAGGCTGGATGCAGTAGGCTCGGCGTGTCGACGAGTCAGCTAGCGATGCATTTGGGTGGATGTCTGGGAGCCACAGTGATATAGGCGAGGCCGATGACCAGGGTTCAGGATATTGTACGTCCATTTAGGCGTGTGCCGGGCATGGGTCAATCGCGGGCTCAAACAAGCGCCGTCGTCTACAGATTCTCCGGCTACGTCCTCGCGACCCGTACAGCTCGGCCTACCAGATTAGTCCCGCCCCCGTACTCGAGGGTGTCAAGCGACATTTGCCTTGCGACGCCCAATTTCCCAGGAGACACCTTCGAACAGATGCAAAATCTTCGAAGAATGCAAGTATGCAAGATTGGCAATGTCCTGGTTTCTTTGGCGTGGGATCGATCATAAGAGCCAGCGCTTGGATGTGGACTCCAGCCCTGCCGATATCATACAGCTACATCATGCGCAAGTTCATGTGTGACCAATCCGTGAATGTTGGGGCCTGAGTTTTGATTGTCATGTGAAGCGAATTATTGTCGATCGCGCGCAAGGCTCACATGCGCTAGCCAGCCGTCTCTCGCCTCTTACGCAGCCCGCCAAGCCGCGCCAAGCCGCGCCAAGCCCGCTTCTCCTGAAGCCCTGCACAATGTGGACAGGGATCGAGGCCGGCAAAGACGACGCCTATCTGCACTTCACCTGCACTTCACCCGTTCATGCAACGGCTTCCCGCGCATGAGGTACCACAATGTATGTCTACCCGCTACAGCGCCAAGCGTGCCAAGAGCGCCAGAGGAGGATTTGCAAATGGTACATACATTGCCGAAAGGACACGCCCCATGCAATGGACCGGCGAGTGGGCGCCGAAACAAGGGATGCCGATGGGATATCTTCTCCATCAAAGAGCGGTACCCACATCGAACCGGGCGCGGACCGAAGAGGAGGGTCTCCGGCGGCAGCATCGCGCTCTTGGCGCTCCGAGAAGACTTCTCCCTCATCAGCGAGATCACCGAGCTCGACCGAGAACCATGGAGCATGGAGCATGGAGCGGCGAGGGCCGCCGTCTCGCTCGTCCCGCATGCTTGGACCCACGTCCACGTGAAGCCGATGGATCGCGTTGCTGGAAACAGTATGGGAGCTCCTCCGATGCTTGCCGAAAACTAGGGAGGCAGTAGTAGTTCGCACGCGCGACTTGTTGCCGCAGGAGCCAGAATCGACCAGCAGATTGTCGACCGTTACGTGCACAGCGTGTGACCGAGACGAGCTCCTCGAGCATCAAAGTCCCCACTGAGGCTCGCCATCCCGGTCGGCCAAGCCTGAAGCTGGGTAGCTGGGATGACTGACGTGCTCCCTCCTCAGATGAAGCCGCACGGGGCTGCAGACGGAAATCTCGTGGAAGAGTTTGGCCTTCCCCAGTGCTCCACTGTGCTCTTCACACGGCCTGACATTGGTGCGACGACGCCTTCCTTCCTTCCCGTGCTGGCACGCATTCTTGGCAGGAGAGTGTTAGTGCAGTGCCGATCATATATGACAAGTAGACTCATTGCATTCGACCTTTACTTAAGGCGCCTTTTGCACAGGTAGGTCGCACAGCTCTGAGCCAGGCGCATGCAGAGATTCGAGAGCTCGTCTTGTTCTGTGATCATACGATGGCCAGCTCGAAAGCGAAGGAGTAGCAATTGGCCGTCGGAGCTGGCTCCTCCCATCCATTCACATTATGCAAGCACGGGCCGACGCTAGCGCCTCACGTAGAGCATGTTTGCCTGGGCCGAACACACTGCCTTCTGCTCACTGGACCACCTTCTCGCGTACCTGCAGCCAACCAGCCTTCCACATCTCCAGGTTTCACCTCAAGTGGCGCTGCGGCAGTGGAACGTGGCACTGAATACCATTGTTCCTGGTTGAGTCGCGCCCATAGCCATACAGCAACACAATAAACTCGTACACAACTCACTGACAGCGCCTGACATTGTGGCAGAGACTCATCTTGGTACGGTTTACATTCGAAGCGAGGCCGACTGTCACCCAGTCTTAGCTGCGGACCCAGTTGACACTACATCTCCGAACAATTCTCGTGCAGAGGACGGTATGGGGAGCAAGAAGATCGAAATCGTACGTTCATTGGAGTACTCCACGACGAGTACGGCACCGGACATCTACCGATGGATGGGTGGACTCGAGATCTTCAATCACCTCCCTTCTTGAACATGGTATCAGGCATCTGCAGCCCGCATCCACAACACTACCCGGTGGCGGCGCAGATACCATTAGCTCCTGGGCCTACTGCGCCTCCGCTGTAGCCCGGCCCATGCTACGACCTCAGCCCTTCCGCCTCAAGGAGTAATGGCTTCACATCCGCAGCGCGCAACTGGTCGTCGATATCACGCTGGAACGGGATGTTCGCCAGAACCGCACGCCCCTCGAGGCAATCCTTTCTGCTTTGGTTGTCAATATGTGGCCCGTACCTGCACGCTCTAGCCCTCGTGTGTCTGACACATACAGGTGGCACCGGGCTTGACACTCATAGCGGTAGGCCATCTGGGATCCTCTACCACACTGTCATATACTCCCCAGGTCCATCCCTCAACGTCACTCTCTCCCCACCGGCTGTTTTGGTCGCTCAGCCTATCTTTAAACCCGACTTCTGCCCAGAACTACCTTGCATCCTTTCTCTAATCTTGTAGCGAAGAGTTCCTTAGACTGCTGCGATAGCCGGTCCCGTCCGCATCATCGCCGTTCGACACTACCAGTAGCCACAGGCCTCGACGCTCATTTAACCCGAAGCTCGGATCCCTCTCACTTCATCGTTCATCCAGCTCTCGACTCCTCGCTGGCTCGTTACCTGTGAGCATTGCTAGTATGCTTCCTAATCACGTCACGGGCTATTCATCGTTGCTGGACCTCTATCATGCAACCTCTCCGGATGTCGCCATTATCGATCCGGATACTGGACAATCTGCCTCTCACCAGGACATCGCAAAGATCGTGACAGACTTTCGGCTCCCCCTGGACGAGCGAGGTTCGGGCCCTCGGAAGCCGGTCGTGGCCATTTCACTACCAAATGGACCCGTCCTAGCCATCACTGTCTTGGCCACGGCGACATACTTCACAGCAGCACCCGTGGCCCATGGTACCGGCGTCGGGAAAGAACAGTTCAAGGCGGACGTTCTTCAAAGCAAATCCAACCTGGTATTAGCCTCACTAGATGATGTCGACAGGCTGGGCCTCAGGGACTCTTGGCTTGCAGAGGCCAGGATCTCTGTGTTGGCTGTGGAACTCACCGGCAGCATGAGCCTCTTGTTTCATACTTTGGACGGCATCGAAGTGAAGCGTCCCGAAAGGCGACATAATCCCAATGGCGCCGACGACTTCGCCATAATGCTCTTCACAAGTGGTACCAGTGGAACGAAAAAGCTGGTACCGCTGACCATCCGTTCTTTGGTCTGTGGCGTGGCGATGGTAGAGAGATCATGGGGACTTTCACCATCGATGCGGTGTCTAAATCAAATGCCACTGAACCATGTCGGTGGTCTTGTTCGCAACCTCTTTGCGCCGGTGTTCTCGGGTGGCTCTGTCATTTGCTGCAGTGCATTCGACGCCAACTTATTCTGGGACTGTGTGGAAGACTACGCGCCGACGTGGTACTACGCTTCGCCAAGTATGCATCAGGTCATCCTTGAAGCCGGCGCAGGTCGTCCGGAGATCGTTGCCAAGAGCAAGATCAGGCTTATCTGCAATGCTGCTGGAGGTCTGCTTCCAAGTCTGGCCATACAATTACGAGAAACATTCTCGACAGAGACAACTGAGTGCACTGTGTTGCCCAGCTATGGTATGACCGAATGTATGCCGATTTCAACACCGCCGCTCGATTATCGACTTGAGAAGACTGGAACCTCGGGCGTCAGTGTCGGCCCAGAGATTACTATCCTCGATGGCCGTGATCAGCCACTGGCAAGTCGAGGAGAAGTCGGTCGCATTGCAGTACGTGGTCCTCCAGTTTTCGGAGGCTACCTCAAAGACAACAACGTCATTGACAAGACCTGCTTCACGGCAGACGGCTGGTTTGACACGGGCGATATGGGCTACCTCGACGACGAAGGCTACCTCTACATCACAGGTCGGAGCAAGGAGGTCATCAACCGTGGAGGCGAGCTCATCAGCCCTTTCGAAGTCGAAGAAGCCGTCGTGACCGCGGCTTCCAGGCCAGGTAGTCCCATTCACGGACGGATCAGCAAAGCCCTGGCCTTCTCTGTGACACACAACGTCCTACAGGAAGTTGTAGGTCTCGCCGTCGTCACGCCTCCTGGGGCTCGGCGAGCCTGCCTTCGTGGCATCCAAGACGCCGTGAGATCGGTATTGAGTCAGGTCAAAGTACCCGTCGTACTCGTGTACATGGATGAAGGACTTCCAACAAACAACAACAAAGTCTTGAGGATCAAACTCGCCGATCGCCTGGGACTGCCAGAGGTTTCTGACCACACGCCAGCAAGTGGAAGATACTTTGAGGCTGTCTCTCCGCCCCTGAACACGCCCCTGAGCACGCCAATTGAATGCACCGGCTTACGTCTTTCATACGAGGCATTGAAATTGGCGTGCGCTGCTGTCATACCCACGACAATCGAATTCCACATCAAAGCTACCGAGTTCCACCCTGAGCTGGTGATTGCGCCGAAGCACAACTCTGAAATTGACTTTTCGATCGAAGCACTGGGCGATCAACTAGCAACGGAGCTACATGGATACGAGATGCCTACTAAGGTATCTAAGCTCGAAGAGCCATTGCCGCGCAATGCCTATGATGAGGTCGACGAGATTGAACTTGAGAAGAAACTCGACTCTCGAAGCGCTTCGTCTGGTGTTTCCGGCGACCTGACCCCGACAGAGGCTACAGTTACCGAAGTGTTTGCGCAAGTTCTGTCCATGCCTGCGGGAGATCTTTCCGGCTCTTCGGACTTCTTTGAGCTTGGTGGAGATAGCATGCGTGCCGGGAGGCTGCTCAACGCACTTCGAAAGGAATACCCGCTTCGACTCCCGATCAATGTCCTCTTCACCAATTCGAAAGTTTCCCTGCTGGCGCAGTTGATTGACGAGAAGCTTCATCGAGATCAGACCAGTCAGCCAGACCCGAAATTGGTCTCCCAGGAGCCAGACTTCCTTCCTGGCTTGGAGAAAGCGTGTAGCTCAACAAACCCCATCGTCATGCTCCTACAGCTCATGCCTCTGGTTTTCATATACCCGATGAAGCGTGCGCTCACCTGGACAATCTTCATGTACATGCTTCAGGAGACCACCAACTGGCCCATGTTCGCGGCCATCCCCGGCCGTCTGTTCGACCTCGTCATCTCCATGACCGTTGGAGGCATTTGCACTCGGATCGTAGCTCCACTCTTTGCCATTGCCTTTAAGTGGCTGGTCATCGGTCGCTACAAGCAGGGCTTGTATCCAATGTGGGGCTCGTATCACACTCGCTGGTGGCTCGTTCAGAAGACGGTGGCTATCTGCACAATGGGTGTCTTTGGTTGGACGAACTGGTCTCGAACGCTGTACTACCGGCTTCTTGGCATGAAAATCGGAAAGAACGCCAGCATTCAGAAAGGTACCACGTTTGGCGAATGGGATCTCATCACCATCGAGGACAATGCGGTCCTCGAGCGCTGCATCGTGAGGCCTTTTGCCGCCGAGCGGAACACGTCCATGTACCTTGGACGTATCCGCATTGGCAACAATGCATCTGTCGGTCTGAGCTCCATTGTTGCTGCTGGAACCGATGTGCCTGCAAACGCCTGCATTGGTCCGAATTCTTCTAGCTGGGAGGTCAAGGATTCCGCGGACGAGTCCAATCGTGACCTCGGGGCCAGCAAGATTCCCGCAGCGCACTGGGCACTGAATCTCTTCATCGGAGTACCTACCAAAGCGCTCGTCAAGTTCATCGGCATGGTTCCGTGGCTTGCCTGCTTGGTTGCGCTCGTCAGACAGCATCCCGTCTCTAATCCCGACACTCTGGTCGAGATCATCGACTGGTTCGCTACCCCAAATCGAGTCGCGTGGCACTACGTGGCTCTCGCGGCGAACGTGGCCTTCGGACCTGCTTTCTTGTACGTCGCCGTCTTGGCTTTCAAGAAGATCTTTGACGCTTGCTGCGGCGGCAAGATCCAGCCGAGCAGCGTAGATGGACGCTCACAAATGACTACCTTCCGAATGGAATGGCTCAGATCAGTAATGCCGGCTCCTCAATTCCATAAGCTCGCGGAGCTCTTTGGAACGCACTACGAAGCCACTTCCGTCTTTGCTCGTGCTCTGGGATCCAAGGTTGGGAGACAGGTCTACTGGCCCGGGACTGGCCCTTCTGTTCAAGACTGGGACCTTCTCGACATCGGCGACAACGTTGTTTTCGGCTCTCGCTCTCACCTTGTTACTTCCGATGGCCTGGGCAGCGATTATGTCAAGGTCGGAGCCAACGCCATGGTCGCTGATCGAGTCGCTCTTCTTCCTGGTGTCAAGCTCGGCGAGAAGGCTGTTATGGGCAGCGGTGCTCTGACTCGTCGGAACAAAACTTATGCTCCTGAAAGTACCTGGGTTGGCAGCAAGGGTGGCGAGGCTCTATGTCTTTCGGCTGATGCTCCTCCGGGCGACTCAACCCCAACCAGTGCAGGACGGCTGTCGCACGAGATCAACGAAAAACGGCCCTCGCAGTTCGAGAACATGATCAGTGTGAACTCCACCGCCACTACACTCGGCATGTTCACGCCCAAGGGCCCCAGCGTCAATCCCACTCGAGTGAATTCGGAGAGATCAAGCCTCGAGATCGACACGTCCAGCGAATCCAGATCTCCCAGCTCAAGCAATTATGATCTCGAGAAATCGAAAGGTTTCCGCGCCACGGCACAGGAAGTTCCCTCGCACTCCACAACCGGTGTCGAGAATGATGATGGAGCAAAGGACTCGGCTTCTTCCTCCCCCTTCGGCCGTGCCTTCTATGAGGGCAAAGCCTCGTATCGTGTCTGGGGACAATTCACCATCTTCTGCTATTCTACCTTCATCACCGTCCTCAATGGCGTGTTTTGGAACGTCCCAAGTGTCTCGGCTGTGCAAGTTGTCAGTCGCATCTACGCGGACCAGAGCTTGCTTGCGCACCAGTTTCTCGCCGAACGCTGGTGGCGTCCATTTTCCATCTACGTCTTCTTCTCGGCATTGATCGTGGCAATTATGGCGGTACAGGCCATCCTTGTGATTGCGTTCATGATCGCCGCCAAGTGGGTCGTGATTGGAAGGCGAAAGCCAGGCAATTATGATTGGGATAAGTATGTTACCCGTAACCCGCAAGCGAGGGAGAATAATTTTGCTAACCTCTCTTCTCAGGTCCTCCTACTGCCAACGCTGGCAACTCTTCCTCAAACTCGAAACCCTGCGAAGACACTGCTACGGCGGCCACGGAATCCTCGGGATGCTCACCGGCTCCCACTGGATCGTCATGTACTTCCGCGCCCTCGGCGCCAAGATCGGAAAGGACTGTAACCTCTTCGCTTCGGGGCTGCCGAGTCTCATGTTCACGGAACCAGACCTTCTCACGCTCGGCGATCGGGTGACGGTGGATGATGCTTCGCTGGTCGGACACATCAACACCCGCGGGAAATTCGATCTCAATCCCCTCTTCGTGGGTGATCGGTCTGTCCTGCGGAGCGGCTCCAGATTGCTGTCCGGAGCGAGGATGGAAGAAGATGCATGCTTGTTGGAACATACGCTCGTCATGTCCGGGGACGTGGTCGATGCTGGGGCGACTTTCCAGGGTTGGCCGGCAGAAGAATACAAAGAAAACAGAATGCCTACGCTTGAGGCAGTGAGGTACTGGAGGGTCAAGGTGTAGATAGACTGCTATCATTGCTTTTTTTTGGGACACACACGCTCTGGCAATAGAGGAGAGAGGATACAACTTGCACTTTGCAGAATGGGTAATGGGCGTTCTGGATGGGTTTTGGCGTAAGAGATACCCTCGCTAGCTATGTAGTCATCGGATATGTTCGACAATGGATTGTTGATCTCTAGAATGTAGCGTTTGACATAAGGCTTCCGCGAAGATGATGACAACCGAGGAGTGGATTGAGTCATGAGATTAGAAACATGATGAGAAGAACATGAAGTCGTGACTGAAGACAAGGATCAAACGCTCGGACCAAGCACGTGAAGTGGAGGGGTAATGTACTCGCTTTCCCCCACTTCCACACTCCTTCACAACGCTCCGACATCAACCTTTCGTACAGATCCGCAGCACATTCATCACGCTCAGTCGATCGAGTCAGTAACACAGTAATATGGCGCCCTCACGCGTGTCTCCACCTCCGAACAAGTCCCTCTCCCACGGTCTCACGCCCGAGCAGCTGGAAACATGGGACCAGAAAGGCTACCTTCTCCTCCCCGATGCTCTTTCTCAATCCGAAGTACAGTCTCTCCTCTCTGAATCCCGACGCATGCTTAGCGAATTCTCCCTCTCCGACCACCCTATGACGCGCTTCTCCACGGGCGAGAAGTCGGACCATGTAGGAGACGATTATTTTCTCACATCTGGCGATAAGATTCGTTTCTTCTTTGAAGAGGATGCGTTCGATGGCTCGGGGAATCTGACGAAACCGAAAGAGAAAGCTATTAACAAGATTGGACACTACCTACATCACTTGAACCCAGCGTTCAAGATCGCTTCGATAAATGAGAAGAACGCTGCGATAGCGAAAGACTTGGGATTTAAAGATCCCAGGGTGCTACAGAGTATGATAATTTGCAAACAACCAGAGATTGGAGGTCGCGTTCCCCCGCATCAGGACTCGGTGTTTTTGTACACGGACCCGCCTTCTGCGGTCGGATTCTGGTACGCCCTGGAAGACTGTACCGTGGAGAATGGGTGTCTCTCATTTGCAGCCGGAAGCCACAAGCGAGCACCAATTCGTGATCGATTCACCCGGAGTCAAGATGGCCAAGGAACAACGTTTGGGAAGAACGAAGGATCTGCATGGCCGAAGGGCCTGAAACAGGAGAAAGAGATTGAAGGTGAGAAATACGAGTTGGGAGAGGTGAAAGCCGGGACTCTGGTTTTGATCCACGGAAATTTACTACACAAGAGCGAGAAGAACACGAGTTTGAAGGGAAGAATGATTTATACGTTCCACATGATTGAGGGCGAGCACGAATATGATGGGAAGAATTGGCTTCAGCCGCCTGCCGAAGGGTTCACTGCTTTGAATGCTGCTGTGCAATCTTGAACGCAAATACTTTTCTGCAGGTATGGGAATTACATGCTCTGAGCCAGCATAACACTCACCGAATCTCTGGATATATCTGGACCACCGCTCATACAGGAAATATCCAAGATATAAGTCGCCACCTATCTAGAATCAGATGGAACGAGCTTGCAAGTCACAGTGGAGCGACGAATTCTATCAATACCATCTGAACATCATTCACGGACCTTCGCATTCAACTCCACGCCGCCACGTGCCTCCACGCGAAGCAGAACAACCCCGACGGCTGTCATTGATCCATGCCAAAACCTGCATCTGCAACCTCGTACAAATGTCATTCCACATGCGATACCCCCATGGATCCTCACGCCTGATTTGCTCCGTTCTGAGCCCTCGACATTACCAAGCGACCATCTCGACTGGAAGTGTGATCACCACTGGACGTGGTGGTATACCAGCAGGTGATTCACAAGCACTTGCGTAGGGCGGCGGCTGCTATTGCGGCACCCGCGCATCTGTCGGTGGAGCGCCATCGTCCACATAGCCTCCGTCGCGATAACCGCCGTCCCGAGGAGCACCGTCCCAATAGCCACAGTGGACGCAAGCCTCTAGAGCTACATTGGAAGCTTGAACCGTTCTGGCGTGCCTGTGAGTTTTGAGTTGTTCCCAGAATGCGCGGACATGGATGATCCTGCAACGAGCAGTACAAATAGTGACAAAGCCGTTCGCTTGACTCACGAGTATGTGAATCGTGCCAGAGCTATGATGCACAGTTTCAAGATCTCTTGGTCCGGGACCCTCGCCCAGGCTGCGAAGCCGGCCACTTGGATTAGGAAGCAAGAAATGCCCACGTAAGTGATTGCGAGAAGGGCATCCCCAATCACCATCCAATTCTTTGGCCATTTGGAGTCTGAAGCAACATTTTTGTTGTTCGCGCGGTAGTAGACTTTGAGATCAAGCGAGGCGAGCAAAATCGTCAAGACGAGTGGCAGACAGATCCCGGCTAGGAGAGAGTCGCGGTTATCCGTCCTGAGAATCAGATACACGAGGGCAACACCCGCCGCGAGATCGATCGCCGACAGCCAGATGGGAGTCTTCCGAATTCTGACCATGGAATGAGAAATGGATCGGGATTTACGAGGAGGGTAGATGACATCGGAGTCGTCAACGAGTTGAACGACATCCGCGTGCTCGATGATTGTAGCCATGTTGTCGCTCCCGACGAAGGTTGGATGTTATTCTTTGGAGTTGCTCTGGTGGAGGTGCATTGCGAAATGCGAGGGAAACACATGAGTGAGGAGATTTGTCCGACGGAATGTTGCTGCGCCTTCGCGGCGTCGAGAGCAGTGTTGCCTGACGGCGCCTCCTACGACACAACGATGATCTGGCAGCTCCGGAGTGGTTGGTGGATAGAGGCTCGAAAGGATGTCTGCAAGCTAGCACATAGACCAGTGCACCCGGAGACGGCGTGGCTCATGGCACCAGACACTGTTATTGCTTCCTGCAGTGCCTCTACCGTAATACTGTTTGACTGAGTGGAACGCTTCGGCTTGAGTCTGACTGAACACTGCGAATCCAGTGGGTGCTTACATGTTCATTGTAAGGACAGTCGCTCTACAATTAGACGACGACTGGACATTCGACTGTGCCGTAGACGGCGTGTGTGGAACGAAAATGGTTGGTGAAGGCTTAGCAAGCTTCGTGAGGAACGAAGATGCGTTTCATTTCTTGCTGTGATGATTGTTTGAGACTCCCATGTTTCATTTAGTAGATACTGATCTAATCCCCCTCGTAGCATATGTATACATATTGTTATGAAATAGCAGCTCAGGAGGAAAGTGGGAGCAGGCCTGGCAGTAAGCTGAGTGGTCACGTGACCAGGTCACGTGACACGCCAAGCTTAGTGATGCCAGCTGGAAGGGGGAGAGCGGGCTTCTCTCTCTCTCTTACCTTCTACTATCCTTTACTCTGTACTCTACTTTAGATACACTATACTATTACGGGTCCTTCTTCTTCGATTATTAAGTCCTTACTTCCGCTACAAACTGTATAACTATATCCTATACATAATAAAGTCTAATGTAGCTTAGGGTAGTTCTTAACGATCGTCCTATACAGTTAGGCCTATCGCCGTTAACACATATTAATTGGTCCGCCCGCCGTAGCCTAAATGTAGTTTACTATACCGTATACCTCTTAGCGCGAGGGTATATGTAGGTAATAGTTACGTAATTATAGAAGACATACTTACGAGGTGTAGCCTACCGCGCCGACGGTCGTACTATCTACTTAAACTTCGTAGCTCCGACGGAGGGCGTCTAGGGTTCGATACTTCTCCGTTGTCTATTCGTTACAGCTCCGTAGTGTCTAAGGTAATAGTAACCGTAGAGATATCGCTAGATCCTACGACGAGATTATAAGTAACAGCTAGAGTCTTAGTTTTCCGATTTAGCTATTAATACGAGACGATAACTACGCCTAGACCTACTCCTCCGAGTAGCCGATAGAAGGCTAAAGATGAAAGGTCTTCTAACGACGCCTAGAAGGTAAATACGAGTAGTTAATAAGCTCCGACGAATCTAATCGTTAGTAGTGTACGAGTAAGAAAAAGGTAGAAAGTAAGCCGCTATATATCGAGAACGCTAAACGTAATAACTACGACCTACTACGATATATAGAGGCGCTAGCCTAGAGTAGACCGACTCTCTAAGGTATGGTTATAAAGTACCGTAAGGCAGCTATATTATAATACTAGTAGGGAGAGTTTAGAGTAGAGCGTATAAGATAGTAGAGGCTGTCGGTATCGATCTATTTAATAATAACCGCCGCTACCTTTTTATTACAGCTGCCGTAAATCGAAGTTCTACCTAATAACTAATGTTAGCTTACGCGCGCCGACTATAGAACGATTACTACATTACCGAAAGTAGCTATAGAGTATCCTTCTCTAACTCCCGGTTTATTATACTACTCTATCGGTCGATTTAAGCTAGCTGTAGGCGTTGTTACTCGATTATAGTATCTTAGACGCTTACTTTACGCTCTTTGTCCGCGATCTCCTACTAGAGACTAGCGATACGTTACTAAGATTAGGGTATAGAGCGAGTACCTAGGGGTAGGACATGTTACATAGGTACTAATCTAATAAAGTCTTCTTGTGTCGATAGCTTCTAGTAGTCGTAATAGGCACCCGAAGCTTACTAGGCGACGTCTAGTATGTTGTAAGTAGGAAAGCGCGGCTACTTCCTTAACAAAACTTACGACTTATATCGTAATTGTAGTCGTCGTACGACGCGATCTACCGTTAGCTCGACGACATTTCTTTACGTTATCGTACCTAGAATCGTCTCGTATATGCTTCGATTATCTAGATATTATTATAGCTAAAAATTAGTACTAACTTCTAGAGTCTAATATGTAATTTCTTACTTAAATATACGATAGCTACAAAGGTAGAGAACCGACGGCCTATGTAGCTATGCCCGCTACGCTACACGGAGCGGGACACTAGCTCGAACTTAATATAGGTAGAGGCGTGTTCCCTCGTCGAGTAGGTAGTAATTAAGTTTAGCGAAAGGCGCGTACGTATCGAGGTCTAATAACCCGTACTACTCGCGTAAAAGCTCCGCCCGGAGTAACGATATTTAACGGGCAAGCGATCGTCGATATTCGATAGAGGCGTCGAGAACCTATTTATACTAAGCCCTCGTATATAGGAGTCCGTGTTATAGGCTACTTAGGTGTTTTTTCTCCGTGTTCTAGTCCGGGATCTAGGTACCTACGTCGATCTCGAAGTCTATTAAACAACTAGTCAGCTTCACTTGATTTAGTAGCGCCGGACGTAGGAGCTAGTTTGGCTTACGTTTACGTTTACGGCTAGGCCCGTACTACTCGTACTTAATGTACTTATTTAAGTTTCCTACGCGGGTAAAGGACTTGTAGTAGCCGGGCCATACGTACGGATACGGTTTCCCCGGTCTCGAGCCCGTTAAAGCCGCTAAGTCTTTGCCGATCTAGTAATAATCTACTATAGAAGTTGTGTTATTAAAGCGGTAGGCTTCTACCGATAAAGCGCGTTATTCGTTTATAACATTATCGAGAACCTCTTTCTAGAAAGTACTATACAAGTCGGACATGTTTGTTAAACGCGCTTAAACAGAGGTCCGCGCGATATGTCTACTCTTATATATAGAGCTCTATACGGAGAAGAAGCGCGCGGTAGGTGTACGAATACGCTTCCGAGCTCTACGCGCTATCGGCCGTTATAAGCTTAGATTAGTCGCCGTATACTAGGTGCTAGTTGTTAGTGTTTCACCTTAACCGCGGCGCGCGTAGTAGGCCTATAGAGTCATGTCTTTACCTTAGCTAAACACGATTAGCTTATTCGATATGTCGCCTTAGTTCCGCCTCGATTAACGATCGTGTAACCTTCGTGGCTATAGAAACGTAGAGTATATTAGTTGACGTAAGAGTAAGCTAACGTCTACATATAATATTAATAAATAGTCTTACAAAATACATAACGAACACTATATTGTTTTAAGGGAATTGCGCGTATTCTACGCCTAGACTCCTCTACTGTCTATGTACTACTACTAAACATGTTTAGCGCTCTTATCCTAGTCGTTAAGATAAGGCGACTAACTTACGTACGAATGCGTTATCTAGCTAACTAACCGAAGATACGGCGCGGCGAGTATTTCAATTATTAAGAGCGGGCCTAAGATGCCGATAACCTAATACCTACTACGTAGACTCCCGCGAGATTTAGCTAAAGGTACGATAATTAAGCGAGTATCGCTACATTCTTTGTATATATCTTAAACAGCCGTAGCCTAGTAGAGTATACCTAGTCTTTAACCTTTTATAAGAAGTATATACTCGTTTAGTTTTAGTAAGTGTCCTCGGTATAATCGTAGATATAAGCGTCACCGGCTGTAGACGTACTAGTACGATAGGGCTACTCTAATGCGTCTACTATAGTTATACGAGAGAGTTGTACGGATATTAAAGATACTACTACGGAAGTTACGGCCTACGGGGATTTGAGAGGTCCGGTCTAGGCTACGTTACAGTTCCGTATTCGATTAGCCTAGGTGGCCCGCTCGAGTATGTATAAGTATAAGTAGCTATGTTACTATAACTAGCGAGCCTATAGAGGGGGTTCATAAAAAAGTCTAAAGCGGTTTAACTACTTACACCTTAGAGCCATTCCTCGAGTATTGTAGTCGTTAGGACACATTCGCTAGTAATAGGTCTAGACAAGGCAGTTAACAAGGGTAGAGTCGGAGCCTACAGCTAGTCGAGGTCTTAAGGATTATTCTATACTTCGATTCTAGGGAACATAACTTCGAGTAGATCCTAGACTATAACGTTCCGTTATAAGGGGTTGCTACTAGAGCTTAAATAGATTTTAGGTCTCCTACTCGTTAAGCATCTTACATTACTACTACTATATACGCGTGACTATACTATATACAGTAGGATGTAGCCTCCCTCTAGCTATTCGGTCTACGCTAGGCTCGAGCGCTATCTAGTCCCTATAGTAAGAAGTAGCGTACGGCGGCTATAGCTAGGTGTTATAGTGTTAGAATCGAGGTTAACAGCCGTTAAAATAGATAGCGAGGAGATAGTAGCAAGTAACAAGGGAGCGATTACTACTATGTAGCCGAGAAGTAAGCCGAAACTCTCGAAAGGATTGTTAAAGAGCGACGCCGCATACAAAAGCGGCTTATCTATAGCTTCGGGAGGCTCTAGATATACTAACTAGTAGCTCCCTAGGTATCCTACGAATAAAGGGTAGCGCTATCTGCTTACGTAAAAGGCTAACGAAGTTTAATAAAACCTTACGCTCCTTACGCTCGCATACTACGACTAATCCGAGGTTCCGGATCGATTATAATCGTAGCGATCGTCTCTCTCTTTTTAAAGGCGGTAAAGTGTCGTAGATCTAACATAGATATGTTCGTTACTATTTCGCTATTGTTATTATAGTCCGACGCTAGACTTATCTGTCTTATTCGGATCCTACTAATAGCTACACTTGTTACAACTCTTCGCTATACCCCTCGGGATAGGCGAAGGCTAACTAGGTTCTATATACGAGTAAGTCCGGAGTTACAGCGATCCTAATTCGAAAGTATACATACTTTCGAAGTAGGCGATTAGTAGGCTAACTATAGATGCCCGTACGGCAGTTCCTAAAAGA